CCTGTGTTGTTTTCCACGGTGGACGGAAGTCCTCTAGACTTTTCTAAGCGGGAGCCGAAGCGGGTCCTCCTTCTCGGTCCGGTACACCAGGTCGCGCGCTCGCTCACCCCGGAGCTGACGCGCCTGCCACGTTCAAACTCCAAGGTGTTCTACAAGCCAAGCCATGGTCCACCAGGACGATTTTGCAGACCGGGACTTGTTGTTTTCCCCGAAAGAATCCAAGAGAGCACACTAAAAGCAATGGATTTGGCGCCCTCTGATTCGTTGGGCTATAGCCATTACCGGCCCCGGTTTTTCTTGGAAGAGAAGCCCAACCTGTCGTTTTGAGTGTGCCTTTCGAGTTGACACTTTGGTTCACCCTGTTGGCTCACCTGGTTACTAAACATGTTTGTGTGTGGCTCTGCAGGATCATTGCCAGGGTCCGCCTAGGACGCCCACAACAAACCAAACCTCTCTAATCGAGGATTGGGACCCATACACAAATGGCCTTTGCAACGTTTATGGCACACCTTCCTTTTGCACACGTGATGGGTGTGTAATTATGTGTAAGGGGCAGCTCTTTGAGGCATATTTGGGGAATGCACAATCTGGCAGCCATGTCGACAAGCTGCCAAGACGGGTGCACATTCATTCCAATGAGCGGTGCCGAACACTGTCCACAACCAACAAACCACTTTCGCCGAACCTTTCGCGATGCGTTCACCTGCGCCGGCATGTGTTGTTCTTGTCTTTCTAAGAATCCTCTTCGCAGAGCTTTCGGGGCGGGTATGCTAAGCTGGGCTACATGGACTAGTCTGCAGACATGCACTTTCAAACGCTTTCGCAGCGGGCTCTTCTTCAACGACTTTTGCGTAAGCTATTGTGAGAACGCAGGGCGCGAAAGCTGTCACGAGGCCTTGTTAGGAGTGCCCTTGATGAGGTATTGTCCTTGTGTTGTGTACGGCGTATGCAAACAGCCGCATTATCTCAATGAAGATGGCTAATACACATCGTTTGGGCATATGCCCCTTTAGACCCACTTCTGAATGTCCAACTTAACAATCACGTAAGATCAAGCTAACGCCCCGTCATGCTAGCATGGGATGATAGGTGGGTTGGTCTAAGTTAACTTTGCCTGTAGGAGTGCGGCCATGACTTTGATTGTTGACTGGAGTTCAGAAGCTTCATGAGAGTGTTCCTCAGAGTGGTGAAAATACCTCCGTTTGGTCGGTATTTCAAGGAAAACCAGGAAAACCAATGATTTTACATGGCCACGATTTACTATTTGGAGTCCCCCGCAACCCATGAGAGTTTGGGCAGTCCACAAGCTCCTTGAGCAGGCCCCGACTGAATTCAAAGCACAGCCCTTTTGATCCGGCCGCGTGGGCGTTGATTTTGACGCCTCTCTAAAGAGCTGCCCTAACTTCGGACAAAGCGACACTTGGGTACATTTCTTTTGTTGGTGGGACTCTTTGAACATCACAACACCTCAAACAACAACGCCGAAAACAAATCGCTCAACCCTTTTTCTCGGGGCGTTCCATTGACATCCACTCTCACACAGTCATTTGGCCACAAGGCCCTAAACGGAACTCGTAGAGCCCATCCAACGGGTCACAAGTCGCCTGCACCCCGAGCACAAAGCTGATGGCGTCCATAAGGTTGGACCTAGGGTCACGTGCGCTCTGGGACCCGTCAGCGATATGCTTGCGTGTGGGGGTTGTTGAAGCTATCCTTCTCAGCTTAATTTAAAGGAACAGCCAAAGGCAGACCAACATTTCAGCTTACTTTAAAGGAAAACCAAAAGGCAGACCAACATGTTCACTGTGGCGTCCCCCTATGTTGACACATACCCATTTGAGTTCTAGAAGTCCAGAAGGGTCTGATCCTCCCAGCAAACTGGCATGGCTTGCCCAAATAGAGAATCACTTCCCGGGAAAACGATGGCTTTTCTGGTTCCATGTCGATCTGCAGAAGTGAATTTCAAACGGGGTTGAGTTCCTGTTTATGGCTGTAGGACAATACTGTGTGCAATTATAGTTGTCCCTCATAAAAGAGGGGGAGAAGTGGGGGTAGCTAAGTGCTCTCTTCCAATGAAACCCCACCGATTCATTGCCGTACGGCATTGCGAATGGTATGGAGTGATGTCACCCCTCTGTTCTTGGCTGATCTCTGACACCCTGCATTTGGGGGTTGGTAAAATATACCGCCCCGTGTACCGCCTTTCAAAGGGGATCCCAACAACCAACACATAATTTTGACCACCCCCCCTGGTTGTTGGTTTGTCTTGCCAGTGTCCAAGGGAAATGTTGGACACCCCCAAGCGGACTGGGATTCACTGGACGGCGGTTCCCCCAAAGGTTTCCTGGGCCTAAAATAGCCAAAAACTGGATTCCGTTTGTGGATCCCCCATCAAGGGCTTCTCGAAAACTACCAGCTAGGTGCTTTCTTCCAATGCCCTGCTGAACTTTGCTTCAAAAGGTTGTTTACCAGGCCAAGCAAATGTTCAATACTTGAAGAAATCCTATGGGTTCTGAGATGACCAGGTCTAACTCTCCCTCAAAAAAAGCTCCACTCATCAGGCCCCAGCTTGCCAGCACCATTGGGCCCAATGATGCAGGTGAACTTCCTAGCGCGAAGGCTTTTCACATTGCTCATATACCAAAAGGGAACTCACCTAACTAGGGATTCCATTTTTGAAATTACTGGAGCCAGAAATGGATTCCAGGGCTCACCCCCCTTCCCAACGCGCAGGCCTTGAGGGGGTTGGGTTTCTGAACATATCGCTCCATCAAAAGGGACTTGACCTTTTCGAAAGGTTTTGTTTAAGCCACCCAAAGAAAAAAATGTTCAAACCTAGCGTCGTAGGTTTTCTTCTTTAAGGACTCTACCTACCAGCCGGTGTTAGCCTCTGTTTGCTCTTGGGGAATCAGCGGTTTTCTATGGCAAGCTTCCCTTTTTCAATGGACCCTGTACCACCCCCTATGGATCCAATGAGTACAGTCAGGACTCAGTCACTTTTTGCTCAACCAATATGTAAGATACTGATGTTTGCGCTGGCTGCTGTTGGGACTAAGACCGGAAGTCGCCAAGTAAATGTTGGGCCCAACTGGACATAATGAATTGTTAACTTCCGCCAATGTTGAGCAGGATGCCTGGATGCTTTGCTCTACATGTTTCGGCCACCGTCAAATGATGCAGAAGCAAGGCGTTGACGCAGCGAAGCGTGAAAAAGCACTCTGTTGTTGGCGGCATTATGGAATCGTCGTGTTACCAATAGCATGGTGGTGTCTTGTTGCTGCTGCAGTTAGTATCGCCGTCGCCGTGTTGCGCGTCTGTGTCTGTGTCTCTGTGTGTGTGTGTGTTCGCTTTATCCAAATACAATATAAAGCACACTTGGACAGTCAGAAACTTGGAAAGCGTGAACAGACTTGCTTTTTTGAGCCGTCCACTTGCAAATGCGACATGCCGAACTGCTGAGATGCGTTGTTTGGGCGAACGTGCGAGTTTGAATTGGTCTTCGAACCCTACAAATACTTAGGCTGTTTTCCGGTACGAGAAGAGAGGGGAAAGCATCACTCCCGGGGGAAGAAACTAAACATTGATCAAGGAAATTGAAACATGCCACTGATTTCGGTGCGTGCCCACAAGTCCTATATACCCCCCCCCCACACGCCCTTCATACCCCTTGTGAAATACATGCGTAGATTGGTTCCACCAGTTTTGAGGGAAGCATTCTTGGGGCACTGCAACCCCAGGGCCGCATAGTTATTTTGCTTGATTAAAAGTCAATCAAAGGGCACGTGAAGTTGCTTGTTTGGGGTGATCTCGCAAGCCAGTGTTCGACTGCAAATACTATGGGTGTTTTGACCTCAGCAGAACCTCCTGTTGTCTTCCCTACGGAAACATTTGCTCCCCCAAAATCCGCCGACCCCCCTGCCTGCAAGGGGAAGGCGCTGGGGGAGTGTTCGTTTAGCGTTGGAGCGTGACTGTGGCAGCCTTCTCCCTTCCCTTTCGCCCTCGCCCGTTCAGCCCTGTACCTTACCAGCCTTCTTTCTTTCACTTTTTTCTTGTTCTTCTTCGTTTCTTTTCTTTCCTTTTCCTTTCTGCTGCCGGCGCACTCCTTTGGTTGGTGCTCGCTGTAGACAAACGAGTGCGGCCTGGAAAAGCGCGGGAAGCGAAGCTTTTGTGGCTGGCCGCTCCCTCTGGACCGATAGCCTTGCTGCATATTGGACTCAAACGCGACGTTAGGCACCCGGCCGCGGCGGAGCAGGCTGCCGGCGCACTCCTTTGGTTCGTGCTCGCTGCGGCGAAGCGAGTGCGGCCTCCAAGCGCGCTGGACGCGAAGCTGTTCTTGCTGGTCGCGCCCTGGGGACCGATAGCTTTCTACTTTCTATATAGGATTCAAAAGTGACGTTCGGCACCCGGCCGCGGCGCACCAGCCGGTCTTGGCAAGACGCACAGCAAACCCAAAGGGATGAAAGACCAGGGAGAGGCAAACTGTGACAGACGCAGGCGCACATGGGCATGGACAGGCCGGGGATTGAACCCGGCCCCTCTCGCATGCTGAGCGGGTGTGATGCCACTACACCAACTGCCCCTGAGCTGAGCAGGCCGAGAGTGCTCAACTACCTGCTGCGCACAGCTTTCAGCGCTGAAGCTCTGTCACGGCCAGCCCGTTCGCAGCCTGCTCCGCCGCGGCCGGGTGCCTAACGTCGCGTTTGAGTCCAATATGCAGCAAGGCTATCGGTCCAGAGGGAGCGGCCAGCCACAAAAGCTTCGCTTCCCGCGCTTTTCCAGGCCGCACTCGTTTGTCCACAGCGAGCACCAGGTTTGCGCCCTGGGGACCGATAGCTTTCTACTTTCTATACTTTCTATACTTTCTACTATTTCTATATAGGATTCAAAAGTGACGTTCGGCACCCGGCCGCGGCGCAGCAGCCGCCCTTGGCAAGACGCACAGCAAACCCAAAGCGAGAAAGACCAACGCAGGCGCACATGGGCATGGACAGGCTGGGGATTGAACCCGGCCCCTCTCGCATGCTGAGCGGGTGTGATGCCACTACACCAACTGGTCCTGAGCCGAGGCCGAGAGTGCTCAAGTACCTGCTGGGCACAGCTTTCCGCGCTGAAGCTCTGTCACGGCCAGCCCGTTCGGCCTCTTTTCTTCCTTTCTGCTGCCGGCGCACTCCTTTTGGTTGGTGCTCGCTGTGGGCAAACAAGTGCGGGCTTGCCCGTTCGGCCTCTTTTCTTCCTTTCTGCTGCCGGCGCACTCCTTTTGGTTGGTGCTCGCTGTGGACAAACGAGTGCGGCCTGGACCAGCGCGGGAAGCGAAGCTTTTGTGGCTGGCCGCTCCCTCTGGACCGATAGCCTTGCTGCATATTGAGCAGGCTGCCGGCGCACTCCTTTGGTTCGTGCCAGGGATAGGCAAACGGTGCCAGACGCAGGCGCACATGCATGGACAGGCCGGGGAGTGAACCCGGCCCCTCTCGCGTGCTGAGCGGGTGTGATGCCACTACACCAACTGCCCCTGAGCTGAGCAGGCCGAGAGTGCTCAACTACCTGCTGGGCACAGCTTTCAGCGCTGAAGCTCTGTCACGGCCAGCCCGTTCGCAGCCTGCTCCGCCGCGGCCGGGTGCCTAACGTCGCGTTTGAGTCCAATATGCAGCAAGGCTATCGGTCCAGAGGGAGCGGCCAGCCACAAAAGCGTCGCTTCCCGCGCTTTTCCAGGCCGCACTCGTTTCACCAACCAAAGGAGTGCGCCGGCAGCAGAAAGGAAAAGGAAAGAAACCAAAGGAGTGCGCCGGCAGCAGAAAGGAAGAAAAGAGGCCGAACGGGCGGGCCCGCACTCGTTTGCCCACAGCGAGAACCAACCAAAGGAGTGCGCCGGCAGCAGAAAGGAAGCAAAAAGGCCGGACGAGCGGGCCGTGACAGAGCTTCAGCGCTGAAAACTGTGCCCTGCAGGTGCTTGAGCGCTTTTCCAGGCCGCACTCGTTTGCCCACAGCGAGCACCAACCAAAGGAGCGCGCCGGCAGCAGATAGGAAGAAAAGAGGCCGCTGGACGCGAAGCTGTTCTTGCTGGTTTGCGCCCTGGGGACCGATAGCTTTCTACTTTCTATACTTTCTATACTTTCTACTAATACTATTTCTAACTAATACTATTTCTATATATAGGATTCAAAAGTGACGTTCGGCACCCGGCCGCGGCGCAGCAGCCGCCCTTGGCAAGACGCACAGCAAACCCTAAGCGAGAAAGACCAACGCAGGCGCACATGGGCATGGACAGGCCGGGGATTGAACCCGGCCCCTCTCGCGTGCTGAGCGGGTGTGATGCCACTACACCAACTGCCCCTGAGCTGAGGAGGCCGAGCGTGCTCAACTACCTGCTCGGCACAGCTTTTCGCGCTGAAGACCCACCCGCTCGGCCTTTTTTCTTCCTATCGGCTGCCGGCGCACTCCTTTGGTTGGCGCTCGCTGTGGGCAAACGAGTGCGGCCTGGAAAAGCGCTCCAGCACCTGCAGGGCACAGTTTTCAGCGCTGAAGCTTTGTCACGGCCCGCCCGTTCGGCCTCTTTTCTTCCTTTCTGCTGCCGGCGCACTCCTTTTGGTTGGTGCTCGCTGTGGACAAACGAGTGCGGCCTGGAAAAGCGCGGGAAGCGAAGCTTTTGTGGCTGGCCGCTCCCTCTGGACCGATAGCTTTGCTGCATATTGGACTCAAATGCGACGTTAGGCACTCGGCCGCGGCGGAGCAGGCTGCCGGCGCACTCCTTTGGTTCGTGCTCGCTGCAGCGAAGCGAGTGCGGCCTCCAAGCGCGCTGGACGCGAAGCTGTTCTTGCTGGTTGCGCCCTGGGGACCGATAGCTGTCTACTTTCTATATAGCACTCCTTTGGTTGGTGCTCGCTGTGGGCAAACGAGTGCGGCCTGGAAAAGCGCTGAAAACAAGCAAACAAGCAAGAAAGCGAGCAAGCAAGCAAGCCAGCAAGCCTGAACCAGCCAAAAGCCGCTGACAGAACAAAAAAAACCTGGGCTGGCCCCCCAGCGGAGGGGTCGGCGGCACTGGGCGGCAGCCCTTAAATAACAACTGGCCATATTGTTCCAGTTGGTTCATACATAGCTAGCTGCAGAATGCAGCATTCCGTCAAACGAGGTCACACGTTGCTAACTGGGGCGCCCTATCAGGGATCCTTACATCATACACCTGAACCTTGCAACTTGTAAATGGTGGTTTCCCTTTATTTCGGTTAAAAAAGCCATGTTTCAAATGGTTGCAACGTGGAGATCTTTTAAGGAGCCCTGCCTATCCCCATGAGAATCCACACGTTGCTTCCGGCCTGAAGGGACCAATGGTCACCTTCCCCTGGTAAGACCTGATTCGCGGTGCACAGGAGGCGAGTGCCAGCTCAAAAATGGTTGTTGCACACATATGGCTGTGGGTCAAAACGATGTACCAAATGGCACCCTGGTAAATGGAACCAAAGACTAAAATCTGCGTAACCCTACCTCTTGAATTTTGAGCCACACCCATATTCGCAGAAAACAATTCAATCGTTTGCTGTGTTGGGACCTGAGGACATCAATTGCTTTGAAGCGTACTCAAATCACGGATTAACAGTTCTCAAGGAATTCGATTCCTCTCAGGAGCAACGTCGGTTGAGCAAGGCACCCGGGGGTCCAGGCCAGGTGTTCAACACCCAAAGGGTAGCAACACCTAACCGGCTGAATGCAATACTTGTACCAAGCTCAAATAAGAAAGGAACCAGGGAAGGTCCGAGGCGAAAAAACAAAACTATGGCCTCCTTGAGAATGCCTAGGTTCATTCAAAACCCAGAATGGTCATTTTTTGAGGAAAGGAACCTTCATAACGTTTTCAAACGGAAGGACACTTTTTCAACCAGTGAGGTCCAGGGCCCCAGGGCCCGCGCTTGAAGTTCTCCACCACAATCTGATGCACTCGTCCCATGGTTGCCTACCCCAAGGATCCGAAGGTGGTGACGTGACCGCGTTATCCGGAGTTCCCTGCGCAAAAAAAAAACACACACCGCCACAGGAGCTCCGGTTGATATGACCCTAGGGAATGGACACAGGAAAATCCAGTTCCACACACTTGCGCGGCTGAAATTATGACAGTCACGACGATTAACAAAATGATCCGCCGGGGAAAGGCTCTGAGAAGCTGCTTAGCAGTGACTCTGAGAAGAATTAAAAACACTACACACACCATGTCCATCCCCAAATTTCGACTGAACCTCAATGTGGGGATTGGTTGCGAATCAAATATTTTAGAAACTAGACCTAGGACCCCCAACATGGGTTTGACAAGGGTTCCTTAGGTCCGCCACCCCTGAGTTTGAGTCAAGGACCACGCAAGGCGCCTGGTAGGTATGCTGGAAATCGGAAGCCCAAGGCTGTCTAGTCGTGCGGAAAGAGGCTGCGACAATAATAAGCTAGAGCGCAGCACTCAATGACACAGTGGTAACCACATTTGGGTCGGTCTCGGGGATGCCCTACCCCCGAAATGGCTGGTTTCCCTCTGAACTCCCGTTTGGCTGGATATCCAGTTGGTTGGTTTTCAGAGTGAGGTCGAAAGGAAGCTCCCAGCCTGACAATGCCAACAAGGCGAAGGGGAATGACGAGAAAGAAGCGCTCCACTTTTTGCCGTCCACCACTTGCACTTGCCTTTCTGTTTTAGAATGACGTGTTCGTGGCTTGCTGGCGATTCAGAGTCGAGTGGTCCGATGAACTAACTTGAGCCGCGCCAGAAACCGAAATTCCGAACTGCGCCTCAAAAAGCGACGACTGGAAAACATGCATCAGCGAGCCAGCTCGTAAATTGGATATCCACGAGCGGCATAGAGTGCGGCTCTGGCTGGATGAATTCCTTTCTCGCACGCTGCCACCTGCCATTGCGACTCCAACGGCCAAAACGGGACCCGTTGAGTTCAGGGCTCGGGCATCAAATGTGCCATTGGCGGAAAGGGAGTCAATCCTACCAAACTCGAAGAAGCAAAGCGTTCACACATCCAGTACGACCAAAGATAAATTCTCGGGCCTACTGAATATGTCCAATGAAAACCACCCTTTCAAAACCTACAGGTGAACAGCTCGCGACCACTACTTATAGCGACGACCGCGCTAAGCTAAATATTCGTTGTGTCTTCCAACTACATGTCCGATCCCTCCAGCCTCGTCTCCTTTTGGCTTCACTTAAAGCCCTCCAAAAAAGCGGGTTCTGACTCTTATTAGACAGACCCATACCGAACTGGTACATATAATTTCTACAGCTTGGAACCTTCTGCTACCTCATTTACATAGGGATTCATGTCCACCAACCATTGACCCTTTTTTGGACTCGCCACCATTGGCCCCCCTCCCGCCCCCACCCCATCCCCACCCCACCCCCTCCCACCACACCCCACCCCACCCTCACCCCCACCCCCCCCCAACGCCGGCAAACGCCGGCCAACGCGACTGGCCTGGGACGCCTTCAGAACTCCGCTAGGTCGGTCCCAGGGGTTGTGCACCGAGGGCCGCCGCACCTCGCACTTCTCTCGGCCTCCAGGCCGCGAGGGCCGCGAGGGCCGCGAGGGCCCCCGGCCGCGGCCCTGGGGGACTGGGGGACTGGGTGGGGGGGGGGCCGCGGGGGGCCGCGGGGGTCGGGGGGGGGGGAAACCGGGCTGTAGAAGGAGGGCACCCTCTGGGGGTTTGAAGGAAAGCCATAGAAAAGCCGTGCATTTTGCGCATTTCGCTCAAGGGCTCCGTTGTGCTCCGTTCTGTTTCTTTTTGGTACACAAGTCCCGAGTGCCATCCATGTTTCTGTCTTCAGCCAAGCTGGCTAAAAGGGCCAGCATGTCAGGCCCTATGTTCCTGGTCTTCATTAAACAGTGGCCGCCATCTTTAGACTGCAGCGTCATTGCCCAATTTCCCAAAACCGAAACTTGCGGGGTGTCCGACAGTGCACAAAGCGCAAGGATGAAGGCATGCAATTCGTACTTGTGGGAAAAGGGGGCTTGGTATCAGCTGATGTTGCCAGAAACATAAGCACAAACATATAACATACATAAACAGAAACATAAATATAAGTAGTTATAAAAGTAAAATAAACATACATATAGCGGTATTCATTGTTAAACAAAGTACGCACAAAGGAAGCAACCAACCAACCAACCAACCAAACACACACACACACACACAAAGACTGAACAAAAAAGCAACCACGCAAACAAACAAGCAAGACAGCTTGAAGCAAGCAACAAACAAATAAAACACCAGGAATACCAGAACAAGAAAGATGGCAAACAACAATTGGCAACTAGCATCGATTTCAAGTCGTGAGCTGGGCAAAGGAGTTGCTTTTGACAAACACCTGGGTCCAACTATCATTTTCGACCTTCCGGTCGGTTCAAACCAATGTACAAACGTAGCAAGCGCTGGTCTCCGCTCTTTGTGGAAGGCACTGTCAGCTTTGATTGCGACTTGAGTCATAGTCAAAGCCCGGTATTAACATGGTCTACCCAGAACCATGTAAAGAATTAAGAAGGCGGCCGCAGCTATTTTTGGTTGGGATTATCCCTTACTACCCTTCATCTACCCGGGTTTGATTGTGTCTCAATTGGCCCTTCGGTCTCTCTCGCTTTTGCCTTCGGCGGGTTCGGCGTGAGCAGCTCTCGGAGGGGGGGTGGGGCGCAGCGGTTGAGCTCGTTGACCACCAAGCGCCCCGCCGCGTAACCTGCACTGCCAGCCCCCAGCAAAACGCTTCACTTTTTGCTGGTTAAAAGCAACTATGAAGGGAATCCGAAAAGCTAAAGTCTAAAGATCCAACCCAATCGCGGTAGAGTAGATGGCACGGCTCCCTTTATGTCGGCAAGCAAAGAGGATCAAACGCAGATGGGGAGGTCGTGCCATCTACTTTCCCTTCCCTGAGAAGAAATCCGAAGAGATCCTGCAGGTCAGAAGCCATATCCACCAAACTTCACAAAGTCAGACCAGACTGATACTACCCCAATAAGGCACAAAAAAATGAGGCTGATGGCACGAGGGCAGCCTACATAAGGGTGCCCCTTCGAACTCTTCGCCGATTCAAAGGAGACTCGCGCCAAGCAGCGAGCTTGTTGAGGATCTGGCACCGGCTGCTGGCTGGCAGAAGACAGCAAAATGCGATTTGCGCACGTTTGCTCCTCCAGCCAGTCGGTGGTCTGGACTTCTTGCCTGGGTTGGAACTGCAAGTGATTCACGTCTTGGCAAGGACACATCATATATTTTAAATAACAAAAAAACAAATAAAAAAGCAAGCAAGCAAGCAAGCAAGCAAGCAAGCAAGCAAGCAAACAAACAAACAAACAAACAAACAAACAAACAAACAAGACTAACAAATGTGCGCCCCTTTTGAAGATGAGGCCGTTGTTGTTCTCTCCTTTCCGGGCGTACCAAAGAGCAACCAAGTTGCTCTTTGACCATCACTTCCAGGATCTCTACTTGGCCACCGATAGACAGACGCTGGTCGGTGCGGACTGCTGGTAGACACGGCTTCCTGACATAAGCTTCAGAAACGCCGCAGTTGCACCCCCAACAGCTCGTCTAAGACAGGGATGCGCACCCTTGCACTCCAGGCTCCGTCTCCTCTTGCCGTCAAATAATACACACACACCAGGCCCCCCCAATGGCCGGTAATTGGCGTCCCGGGTGAAGTGACGGCAATTGACCAGCACTTGCTTAAAAATGGTTTTGTAGTCACGTGGATTTTTTTGCCATCATCAAAGTGCAGTGAAAAGTCACTTTTGTTGAAACGTCACTTCCGGATACTAGAGGGGATCCAATTGAGGGCTTGGGCTGGCATGTATGATCATTGCACGTGCAACGCACGGAGGGGGAGGGGGGGCGACACGCTGGTGACACGCTCATATCCCAAAAAAGTGACCGTTCAACGTACATGTGCCGGCAATTGGCCACCCCCCGACACGCCGTGACACGCCGTGACACGCTCCTCAAGAACCCCTCCCAACCTCAAACTTGCCCTCCAAACATCAAATTTGCTGCTCTCCCCTTTCCCCTGCAACCCCATTCCAAAGGACCCTGAAAGGTCACTTGTATCATTGCACAAATTGCACTAAGTACAGATGAGTGATAATTGATAGCAAAATGTTTTTGCAGTCACTTAGACATAAAGGGACATCGTTTTGCCCAAAATCGATGTGCCGGCAATTGGCCAGCCATTGGGGGGTGCTGGCACAAGTAGTTGACATCGACAAACGCGCTGCTACGCTGCATAGTCACAGAGCCCACTGGGAAAATGCAAACACACACACACACACACACACACACACACCATTGTGAGCGATCCAGCAACAAACCATGCTAAGAGAGAGGGTTCCTCCACCGCACCTGTTTTTTTGTTTTTTCCCTTCCGGATGCGGTAAGAGAGGACCAAGAAGGTGCCCATTGACAATCCCCTTTCAATAGGGGATAACAGGCGTTTTTTGAGCCTCAACATGAGGAAGCATTGCTTCAAAGACCCAGACCCAGGGCCCCTTTAAACAACAACCAACAGAAGCTTCTAAGGTTGAGACCATTTCTGTGGGCATATTCCGGGCATTTGTTCTTCTGCCAAGCTTGAAAAAATTGTCTGCGCGCGCGCTGGGCTGCGCACATGGCATTCGCCATCTCGTTGTAGCACGAGGCCGTTGACCTGAGAGCACTTCTGGCACAGCCGCGGCTGTTTCCACTGGGTACCCTTCAAAGGCATACAGGCCTTAAGATCATGGAATACAGTCATAGTCTTAGGTGCGCTTCGGTGTCCTCTGGGGAAAAAAAAAAAAAACTGTTGGCACCGACAAGCGAGTACAGCGAAACTGACTCACCGGAATCTATCTATGTGGGTATTTGTCACAAAATAAGGGGACCCCCAAAACGGCCCTCAGAAAGGACATGTCAATCTTGCAACCACGCTGAAGCCAGAAAGGAGATATCTGTTCCGGGTCCGTTAAACTGACACTCTCCAAATGACCGAACCTTGGAATGGTGATGAACGCTGAATCCACCCCCAACAAACCTGGATTCGCTTACACCCCCTTTTTCTCCTGCAAGGAAAACGGAGAACAACCAAAAGGGCCTAAGCACTGGGCAAAAAGGCGAGTTGAGTTGCAGTGAAAAGTCATCTTCAGAACCTCCCGAAAGGTCCCATTTTGGCTCTTAGACGCCCGCGTGGCTTCAAAGGTCTTCTTCCGGAAGGTGCCGCGGTTCCTGGGCGCGCAAGCAGAAATCGGGTCGTCCGCCTCTCTGTTCCCTGTAAAAGAAGCCAGAAAAGGCGCTCAGGGCGACTAAATGGCCATGGGTCAAAAGTACCTCCAGTAAACATCCCAATCCCAAATAAATAGGTTCTAAAATGGGTGGTGAATTCCCCTACCAACCAAAATGGGATCCCAAAACAGTTTTGACAACCACAGCCAAATTTAGAAAAGGGCGCCTTGCAAAGTGCCGACCGGTCCGATCTCTGAGGCCTCGGCTCCTCGGCGAGCCTCCGCAGCTCCACTTCCGCCCGGGCCTGGGGGGGGAGGGGGGTGGGTGGGGAGGGGGGAGGGTGGGGCGGGGGGAGGGTGGGGAGGGTGGGTGGGGAGGGGGGTGGGTGGGGCGGATTGGAAAATGAGACTCTGCAAGGGAGTCTATCTGATGCGATTGGGTATGCTGCCCAAAAGTTGCAAACCCCCAGACCAGAAACCTGTCCACAGCCGAAACTAGCCCGGGGCGGAACCAACCAATGATTCAGCCCATATTCTCTCTTCTCCGCTTAAAACTTCACCCCCGAAAAAACTCCCCGTATCGTGGGCCCAAAAGGTGAAACTCAGTCGCTTTGAGTTCCGCACCGCACACTCCACGCCGATGACATGAAGAGGCCTCGGATCTTTGGTTGAAGGTTCGGAAGTCTAGGCGTCGAGGCTGTTGTTGGACAAACCCGTGGTTGCCACTTATAACCGACTAGTAGCAAACTGAAACCAAGGAAATCCACCGATCTCCCAAGCTGACCTAAGACACGCTTGGTCCAAAGACTCGGGCACAGAACATGGCTTCTTTTGCCAAGGAAGAACAAAGGGAACCAAACAATCTTCCACCTCTGGGGTCGGGAAACACCTTGTAGGAACAGCTTGGACCCCAATTCCCATAAGTACAGTATTTCCCTGGTACTCACGTCTGGGCACGCCTGGGCACGCCTGGGGAGGAACCCCTGAATTGCTTCATCGGGGCACCCCTTCCGTACATCACTGAGGGGCGGGGATCAGGGTCGAGGACGAGCCAAGCTTTGTTTGACTTGAGTCACAATCAAAAACTGGTACAAAATTTGTGAACCCAGAACCATGTAAAGAATTGGAAAGGCGGCCGCAGGTATTTCTGGCTGGGACTGCCCGTTGCTAACCTTCATCTACCCGGGTTTTGATTGTGGCTCACTTGCAACAACACTCCGTTTGGTTTCCAAGTCATTTTTGGGCCCAGGCAGCTGCCGCAGGTTCCGCGAGCGAATGTCTGCTCGGCAGTAGTCCTGCCAAAAAGCACGCGAGCTGCCGGGGCGGCTGGTTTAACCGGGCTGGTCCAGCTGACCTGTGAAAAGTTAAACTTGTTGCTCCCGCATCTTCACGTTCGGTAACATGGCCGGACTATGTCGGACCAGTCAGATAGAACGAGGTACCCAAGCGCGTATCGCATTGTTGCTAATTAGCAATGGAACTGTCATGTGCGAAAGGTTCAAAGGTGGAGCAACGTGATCCTTGCCCTTTAGTGGCTGATTGAAAGGAAACTCTAGGACACTATCTTCTCATAGTGCCGATTAAAAAAACGATGAAAAATGAGGCGCTCCTTTTGGATGGTGTAGAGGCACACCAAAAGGAAGCCAACCATTGTCATTGGTCCTGTATTCCAGGACACCCACAAATACATATATATATATATATATATATATGTATACAATATATGTATATATATATATACAGTATACATATTTTGAGCTGGGCCCTTTGGGGGACATCATTTACAAGGGAACTTTCCACTATCTTTGAGGGTGTTCCCTCTTCACATTCACTAGCCAAACGGTCAAGCACTCCGTACAGGGTCCCTCATAATTCCCTGTTTAAAAGGACCAAACATTGCGGTCAAATGGTTGTTTGAATTGCACGGACATCCATGAGAGGTACCCTTTTTTGGGCTAGAGAGAATCCAGACAGAAAAACTGCCCGTTTTGGGGCGGCTCCCATTCGGAGACAAACCCAGGTGGATCGGGAAGAATCCATAACGGTACTCAGCATGCTCTGCTAGGCAGGCAGCTAGGCAGTCAGGCACGCAGAAATGGCTCCCAAGCGACTATGTTTCATCTCCTCATGGGAATTCCGGCTTGGGCAACCAAACCAGCATTTCCCGCAAAAAAAAGGAAATCCCAAACCAGCATTTCCCGCAAAACAAAGGAAATCCCAAACCAGCATTTTCCGCAAAAGGGAAATCCCAAACCACCCGCAAAAACAGGCATGGCTCTTCAGTTTCCCAGGCTGAACTTGTCGGATGGCAGGCGAACGGCTGGGGTGCCCGCCACGTCCGCTCGCTTGGGAAAGCCGGAGGTGAGCAAGTAGATGGTGTCCTTGTGCCAGAAATGGGCCCTTCAGGTGTCTTGGTCTAGGATAGATTCCAAAACCATACCCAAGTGTAAGTTGGGTATGTAGCCACTGGATACCCCACTTGGGCCCCCGGACAGGGGTTGATCCCAACAGAACAGGACCTGTCAGGCCTGACAGACCCCCTCCTATGAACAGACCCGCGGGCACAAGCGCGATTTTATGGACGAGAGGTTTACCTAACATCACCGTGAAGGGCGCGCCAACCCTCCTTGCCAGGGACACCGGATTAATAAACCCCAGCTTAGTAATAGGGAGGTGTCCCTGGATTTAGTGGGATCATCACAACACCGCTTTTTTGAAATACACTGGGGTTGATGAATCTGGGTTCAACATTCGTGGACACCTGAGATACATCGTGCACTTAGGCCGCGACAGCATCTCCGCTCTCCAAGGCCCAGCGCATGGCCTATCCGGCTCCAGTTTTGGACTTGGGAACCTCTCTGGCGGGGGATCCCATCAATGGGCCCGGTTCCCTGTGCCTCGTTGGACCCAGTTTATGGTACCTCATGGTCATGGGACATATAGCTGAACGATAGAAAAGAAGGCTTCAAACCGAGGTCCTTGGCGTTCGCCGATTCTCACTTCGGACATCGAGAATGTCTCAATTTTGGCAATGACCACCGCCTTCTCCATGATGAAATGATGTGTCCCTCTTGGAACAGCCGGGCTTCTTCCCTTTTGATATCTGCGCGGAAATCACTGAACCCCCTTTCTGCGTCGCCTTGTTTGGACAGCCCTCTGGCACCAATTCGGCATCCCGTCCGCCCGTGATTGATATGTCTAGAAACCAGTCGCAGACTTGTGTCGAAAGCGGGGCTGCCGTACACTTGCGGCCTCACTTGGCCCCGGCCATGTGGACAATGGCTAAGACTTTGCTGATCGCTTTTAGAGGAACATCCTCCTCAGGAATTACAAAACACACACACACAAAACAAGTGCAACTGGATATAATATAGGCAAAGCCGTCGCACACTCAAGCCAGCAAGGCCTCCAAAATGTCAGACCTCTTGGACGGCTGCAACTTGTCGATAAACTGCTCTGCCTCAGGAGCCCAGCCACCGTGTTTGAAGCAACATACTGTGGATGGACGAAATCCTGCACCACCTAAGAAGCCCTGGAATAATGATTCGCTTGAAAATACCAACAAACAATGGTTTCCAATAATTTCAAAGTGGTGCAGGAACTCGTCCATCCACAGTAGGCCTTGCCACCCTTACAGTGGCAACGGCATCCTTTTGGTTCCACTTAAACATCTTGACACGCCAACAAACCCCAACTCTGGGTTGGTCGGGGTCGAATGGACCCTGCAAAGCGCGAGGAGGGAATTGTCCACACTTCAAGGTCAAGTCAAATAGCCACCATTGTTTGGACACCCTCACAAACACAGCCGCATCGTGGCTGACCCAACTTCGTGTATCCTCGACGAAGCCTTCAAACGCCAGGAGCATTCGTTCTAAGCTTAAGCTGTCTGTCGCTCTATTGCCACAGCCTCTCTAAGGAAGGCTCCCCTTTATGACAGTTGAAGAACCAGTGAGCACTTTTGAAAGGGATCTGAAAGGAAGTTGGGTGCCACTCGATGGTTGGGGCATGTTTGGAAGAACAGCCCAACCCGCCGAATATGGTATTTCAGAAATGGCAATCCTGGCCTCCTTCAGTCGCTTTCCAGCACCTTCTTGGAAACGGTTTTCCTTTTTTTTTTTACAGGCCTGTTGCATATTTGATTTACCTGTTGACACAAGACTGGAGAAAAACGGACCTCCAAAAGTGCTTGAAAGCCCTCTCAAGGTCCTGTTTGAACGGGGGGCAAAAAGGATGAACACCAGCATCAAATTTGCGGCCAAGGAAATGGCCAGCCTGTATTGTTGGGCACAGTGATGATCCCCTCATGTAACACTCAGGTTCTCCAGGATCCGTCTTATGGATTTCAGGTCCGGTCAACCGAGGCATAATGTTTCCGAACTCCTCGCCAAATGGAAAAGGGCCCTCCACACGGAAATGACTTGTTTGGCGAACCTTCTGGTTGGTTTTGAAGGGAACGTTCAGGTCACCTAGTAAGGAGAAAAACCCAAATGTACCAAAGATGTTCAAGCCCACATGAAGAAATCCATGGCCATCTCGAGTGACCTCCAGTAAGAAGCTCCTTGGACCATGACACATATTGCAACATGTTTTGAAGTAGACGTGTGGATCTCAAAACGCATCAGCTTCCATGACTCGCCCTTGAGACAGGGTTGACCCGGCTGAACCTTCTCACCTCGGCAAAACAATGGTCTCAAAGGGAGATCAACAAATCTATTACCAAACCGAAGGTTACCCAAGCACGTGTACGAACTTGGACCAGTTCTGGACTTGCTCACGCGGCTTTGCCGGCCTTGTGTTTGCTCTCAGGTGATCAGAAGATCTCTTGCAATGGAAACCAGCGAAAGGCAATTCCACGGAAAGTTCGTCAAGTACCCACCAAAACCAGCGGCTTTGCTAAACCTGTAGAACTTCCTCTAGCTGGTCCTTGAGACATGATATCCTTGGACGTGGGGCCAAAGAAAACCTCGGCTGCAGCGACAAGAGGGCAAGGCAAGCCCTGCCCGGCCTCGCGGAGCTTTTGGGCCGCCGGGGGCATGAGGCGATCCTGCGACGCACACAAATCTACCGAAGGGGGGCATGCGGCATGCCGGCGTTGCCTTTCCGACTCCATACATCTCATTTCCGGAGATGGCGCGCCTGCCCCCGCGGCTCCTTTTTCTTTTGGCCCGTCGGGGCTGGACAGATTGAGAGACCAGGTTGCCACTTGTTGACTACAAGGTGAATCGGTGAATCCTTCAAATGAACTCCCTCGTGGCAGCGCCGTAGCGCCGGGTGCCCCGTCTTGGATGGCTTCAAAGGGCGAAACCAAGTGCTGCAAAAAGGTGGCCTTGTGGCAATAAGGAAGCAACGAGCTGCAACAAACTGCATGCGGCCTAACTAATTTTGAGAACCTACTGAAAATACCGACTTCGCTTTGTACATGCTGTACGTCCAGGGAATTGATCCGGCCTGCCTTGCTTGCAATTGGTTGGAATGCTGGAACACCCCTTCTATCCGTCAACTACAATCCGATCTTTGAAGTTGGTAGCCGAAACTCTTTCAACTGCTGTGAAGTATGTCTCAAAAGAGTCCAACCAACCCTTGACTCAGAGAAACCGAAAGTAAACCACCCGGGTCGGGAACAACGTCCAACTCGCCGCTCTTAGGCCTCCCATGCCACTGGGCTGCCCTTGGAAGTAAAGGCAATGATGTTGAACCTGCGCGCGACTCGAGTCAACGCTATGTTCCTTGGTTTTGGGGGACGGGACCAGCATTAAAAAAAATAATAATGCTCCATTTGTAATAAATGTAGACCCTGTGAACATTTGATTGGGGATCCGCCAACTTTTCAGAGCTTCCCTCACCGCTCAAAGGTCAGGGCCAGGTGCCGCTTTGGATGCCGAGTGCCGAGTCGCCCGCGGAATCCAACCGTTGGCGGAATCCACGGGCAGGGCAGTCCACACGCAAACAGCAACGCAAAGGCCTGCTTTTCGCCACGATGAAGGAATACCTCAGGCAGATGTCAGGCAGTTGCAACTGCTTGGAGCTGCCGCATGTGCATCCTGTGTCTCTCTCTCAGTCTCACGCTCTGTGTAACATAATGTTGCGGCTGACTTTCAACTCGTGCCAGTAATTCGGATATATATATATATATACATACACAACCTCGAACTTGACTCTGCAATGCAGCATGTTTTGGCAAGCTGTGGGGGGCAATCTGCTAAACATGTTCTGTCTCTCAATCTACCGGTGCAGATGCCATCCAAAAAAATCTAAAGTCTCCAATCCAAAACGAAACAATGGAAATCTTTGCGCCTCAAAGAGCTGTGGAAACTGGAACGTTCCTCCGAACACAAGTTCTGCTCCGGATGTTGCAACACCCTGCTAGGCCAGTCACAATCTCAAGCCGCAACAGTTCACAACTGTATAGGCTGGCAGTCCGCCCAAGACTTGCTCGAACCTCCACACCCCGGAAGATCCAGCCGTGTGTATGAAACTTCAACATCGGCCTTCTGTCATTGTAAAAACCCGAGCGGTGTCTCTCACTCAATCCTGCATGATATCCTGAAGAAACGCTTCTACACATACGAGAAACCATTTATCTTCTACAGACCAACAATGGTCTTTCACCATGCAATTCACGCAACACGGGGCTCGCCATAGCTATGGCTATACCTTAAAGATTGAAGAGGGGCTATGAAGCCCGCCGAGGCAGTTCATCACAGAAACACAAATCACCTTGTTTGTGAACATCGGCTGCTAGCTCTGAAATGCTCAGATCTCTATGCGTTGGAAAGTCGTCCCCCCCCCCCCCCACAAAGTCAGCATGTTTTTGTTCCCTTGCCTGGAAGTCTTCCGGCTTCCTTTTCAAAACCACCCGCAACGAAAAGGACCTCCTCTTCACACAGCGCCAAGGTTCAGTCGCACGACAAGAGGAACAAACAGGGTTGACTGAAACAACCTCCCGAAAATCACGCGTACAGAAACCAACCCCAGACCTCCGGTGGCCGTGGGAAAAAGGAGGGTCACCCTTAAACCTCCCCATGCTGGAGCATGGTAGCATCCCAAGCAGGAGCCTTGTAGTTATCTTTGCGTCTTCTTGTCACACGTGGGGGCACTCCCTCCAAGAGGAAGAAACAAAAACACATGGCTATGGAGCAAAACCCCAAATCGTACCCCCAGTGAACGTCTCAATTTCCACTAAAACAAAAAACTAAAATGGGTGGTGAATTCACCTACCAACCAACATGGGATCCCAAAAACGGTTTTGACAACCACGGCCCATATGGACGTGACATGCAGGTCTGAGGCGCAGGCATCAGGCGCTTGATGGCCGCCTTTACGAAGACCAGGTGCTGAGCAACGAATCCCACAGCGTGGATGCTTCACCCCTTCCTTTTCTCGGCATACCACCTATAGCGTCAAGGTCCATGGATCCATTTTCCCAGAAAGTTCACGTTTACCCTGTACAAACCAAGGGGGTCCAATATCCATACAGAAAGGGTGCTCCGTTGCTTTCTGCTTCCATGCTAAAAGCTGAACTTTTGGTGGTTTAAACAGGGGCGCCGTGAAATTGGAGAAGGGGCTCCTTTCGGTTGGCGTAAAGCAAGGGAAGCAAGAACATGTCAATTTGCAGGGGGTCCGATGCCTATTTGGAGAACATGTTCGGCTGAGACCAGAAAGGCCAGGTCAGTCATGTTGTGGGATGAACTCCCACTGCAACATGAAACCCGCCAACGGCCCCAATTTAGAGGAATTGTGTCTTCCAGGGAATCCGAGACAGGTTTCATCAGTGGGAGGGTAATGAGTCTTTCTTTAGCCGGGTATTTGTCCGTTGATGCCTGTTGGGCTTCTTTTCTAGGTTTTGGGTTTGCAAACGGCTCAAGATTTGATCCAAAGCGCTTGTCAAGCCAAGCACACAAGCACCTCTGTTTTTTCTTTTGGGCCACATTTTGATGCTACCCGGGTAAACATGGGAAATCGGGCTCTCGCTCTCTCTCTCTCTCTCTCTCTCTCTCTCTTTCTCTCTGCCTCTCCCCCTCCCCCACCTATCTCTCTCTCTCTCTCTCTCTCTCTCTCTCTCTCTCTCTGTCTCTCTCTCTCTCCCTCCTTTGAACACGATCCACAAGGGGGGGGTCCCTATTTTACAACGGCCACCCCTCTTCTTTGGATTTGGCTTCAGACGTTTGTGGGTTAAGAGCTAAGGGTGGGCTTTAGGGTGGGTTTAGGGTGGGTCGCGAGGGCATTTAGGGTTAGTCTAGGGTAACAGGTTTAGGCTAGGTTTAGGGTAGATTTGGGGTAGGTTTAGGATGAGTTCAGGGTAGGTGTCGGTTTAGGGTTAGGGTTTCGGAGAGTCGGCTAGGTTTAGGGTGGGTTTAGGGTGGGTTTAGGGGAGTTGTTTGGATGAGTTTAGGGTCGGTGCGGGGTTGGTTTAAGGTGATCACTAAATAAGATTCCTTAAATGAAGTAGCACCCTGTTACAACACACCCATTCAAACATGTGAGTCCATTGTGTGATACCGTGGTGGTTTGTACGTCCATTGTCGGTACAAATGAGATCTTGACTTACGACTCTGATTTATCACCCAAGAGGTGTCTTACGATGGAGCTGGTGAAAGAATCCCTGCTTTTGACACCTCCCTCACATTGCACAGCGAGAAACAAGTGGGCGGTGCTATGTTTTTTGTTTCTATCCTGTTTGCACAGGTTTACACCCAGGAGCGATGCTACCCCCAAATAAACCCATACTTGGTGGGTGACCCCAGGTTATTTTTTAGTACTGAGCGAACATGGCGGTCATATCAGGTGAATATGTTCGACCTGCTGGTGCCAACCGGGATCTGCGCTCAAGTCTTTCTCCGTGCCAGGGAACGAGTAATTACCTGGCATGGTGGGCCCCAAGCCTGCCCTTGCTCACCAAACTTTCGCGTCCCAAAGGCCCCCTCCCCCGCCTGCCCCACAGCGCCGGCGGTGTCGATGACGATCAAAGGCCTAAAGCCTTCGACCTGCGCTTCCGCCGCTTTGGTGTGCACGGCCGAAAATTTCGCAAGCGGCGGTGACTTCCCTCAGCGGCTGGCTTCCCTGGTAATTTCCTTCGAAAGGCAGCCACTCAAATGTCATTGGGGAACACCCATTCCGCTGGTGCCGGAACATCTTCTTCCAGTTACAAATCGTCTTTTGGGAGGCCTTTTTGGGATGCTTCCTTTCAGCGTGCAACAGGCATCTCCTTCTGAGGGTGCCCCTTAGAGGTGTCATGTTCATTCGCCGAAGACTAAGTTCGTGTTTAGCGTCTGAGAAAGCAGCGCGGGCAATCACTAGCGTTGCATACTGTGCTTGAGCCGAAACCAAAACCGATCAGTGGTTGGTGCTGCCAAAAAACATGCACGGGTTGCTGCTTAGTGGAGATCAGTTGCTTTTTCCCGAAAGCATTGCGAAGGGTTCTTCTGGTAAAATCGCCAGCGATATCGCAGAGCCAAGCTTGCACGAGAAATCGCACAGCCAAGCTTGCACGAGCCAACTTGCGCGAGAAAGATCGCACAGCCAAACTTGCACTAGCCACCTTGCACGAGAAAGCTCATGCCGCCAAGCTAGCACGAGCCAACTAGCCCGAGAAAGCTCCACGAAAGTAGTTCTCAGGTCCAGATCGACAATTGGGCTCAAATCGAAAGGTTGCTGTGTCTTGGTCAGCGCTGCACGCAGGGAACTTGCTCATAGAAACTTGTTCCGAGCTTGCGCAGGACACTTGCGCAGAGCGCTTGCGCAGCGCAACTTGCACAAAGCACTGCACACATGAAACCAACACTCACTTTCCATTATGCTTTCGGGCCACCCGTGGTTCTAGTTTTCAACCCAACATCAACAAAGGATTTGAGTGCTTCAGATTTGCGTGGCATTTCGAACCAGCTTCCCTTGCTTCTCTTTGTATACTTGTGACCCGCCGTGCCCCTTGATGGATTGGATGTGCAAACCGCCTCAACTCCTGAGGCCAAAATCAAGCACCCCCCAGTGTCCAACCCAAGCCACAGGGTAAGGAGACAACTAGCGGCACAACGTCCTTTGCTGCACCAGATCGGGATGCAGGCGATTGGATACCTTCCACACCAATGCACAAATTGAACTTCCCATCCAATGGATCTTTCGAAGGACCAATCTGTAAAAGCAAAATCCCCCCCCGCCCCCCAGGTAGCATGTCACCCTTGTTGAGAAATCAAGTTGGCGTTGATTGAAAGGGCCGTGGGTCGAAGTCATCTTTGAAGGTCCCTAAAGCAACCCTTACTGAGACACAATTGCTAAGATTGGGGCTGGCAGGGGGAGGATATATCAACCCATGAGCAGAAACGGTTGCCATCTGCCCCCAAACGGATTACTCAGCTTACAAAATCATTCTCCCTGTATCCGTTTATTCTCCTCAAGGTCAAAATGTATGTATCTGCAGATTAAAGGAAGGAAACCAAAAAGCCCTCCACACATGAGGGTGTTGCTTTTGCAGGTACTCTTTTGGGTTCAGTTTGTGTGCAAACCAGGGAAATACCCCAAAGTGGGCCTACGCAAATTAGGGTAGGTCTTTTTTGAAGGTATCCCCTATCCCCTTTTTTGCCGGTGTCAAATCAAAGGAACACCAAAGGAAAACCACTTTCTTTTGGGGTGGATCCCCCAAAAAAAGACCTACCCATTTGGAGATGCGCCATCGCCTGGCCAAAGCTGCTCTCATCCACCTCGTGGAGCAAGCTCGAGAACTCCTGGCGTTTCTAGCCATCCGAATCCAAGCGCTCCCAGTACTTCGCTTACCCTCCCTTCCAGTCCCTCCAAAAAACTGATCCAGGTGCCTTACAGGTGCCATGGGAGGAAGGGTAAGGGGTTTATCCCTTGGCTTGGTAAAATGGTGCTGTTTTTTTTCTGGTTACCTACGTGTAGATGACAACTGGAAGCTTACCTACGCGGTGGCTTGGTTGGGATCCAATGAAAACCGATGGGTCGAAAAACGTGTGGTGAGCGCAGCCCCCTCTCCATACGTAACTTGTACCCGCCCACAAGTGTACAACGAAGCCCCAGAATATGATGTATGAAGTGTGAGGCTGCAAGATGTGCAATGTGCCTAAGCCGCATGCAAGGAGATTAGATCTACACAATGTGAATCCAACCTCTCACTTTTGGCGAGCGTGTGGGGGGGCTGCTCGAAAGCTGCTCGCACAAACACACACTCACACACACACACAAACTCATCAAACGCGCGTACAGCATTGATATTTGTGGCCTGCTACCTAGAGACCTTGCCACCGAATGCAAATGTCAAATGTGTGTTTTCCTTCCAGACTCTGCACTTCCAACACAAGCAAAACAAACATCGTCCGGAATGTCCCCTGCCAGCGGTGATTGAAGAGATTCAGTGCCAAGCCGTGGCCGCGCGACTGCCCTCCGAACTGGAGTGAGCCACGGACAAAATGTTGAGTTTATCGACAAAAGGACATGGGACAATTCGTGCCTCCCGAAGCCCAATGGCAAAACGCTTCAGTGCCTGGAAAAGGGCTGGACCGGACAAAACCACCAACATAGCGTGTGGCATGCGGGCTAGAAACGATTTTGCGTGGGGGACAAAGCAGATCCAATGCGGCGCGGGCCACTGCAAAACGAGGAATGTTGGGCCGATCCTGGGTGCAAAATGCTCCTGGACAAAATCGACCTTCAGGAAAAAAGACGGAAAGCTCAAAATCTCAACCAGAACTTGAACAAAAAGGCGTCATTTGGATTTTTTGGGAATGCGAGTCCAATATCTATGGGTAGGATTGTATGGGCGACGTATACATTTGAAATTAGCACGTTCCCTAAAAAAGTACACAAGCCCATCCTGCACTTGTTGAAGTGACACCCTCGAGTGGACCCTTCAAGACATGGGTGTGGCTCAAAATTCAAGAGGTAGAGTTACGCAGGTTTTAGTCTTTGGTTCCATTTACCAGGGTGCCATTTTGGTACATCTTTTTGACCCACAGCCACATGGCTCAACCTAACGTAGTTTGGATGCTCCGCGTGCATCGCTGCGCGCCTCGCCAGGTTTGTAGCTGTAGGGCAGCCTCAGTGCAACGAGGCTCAGAGGACAGTCTAAGAAATATGCGACAAACCGCAAGCCATCTCAAGCCCTCCAACCCCAGGAAAGGTTTTTTCTGAAAGAATTTTCGGATCGAAGGGCTCTGATCAAAGGGTTCGGATTTGAAGGATAATGTGTCACCAAGCTCCCACGTCTGACCTGCGGGCAGGGGTTGGTTTCATGCTGGCGTCCTACACTCGGAGACCGAGTGAACGGAGCGCCGACTAATTCTTCATTTACAGCCGGGGGCGCGGGGGTTATCACAGAAGTGGTCCACAAACCTCATTCCCGCACAACCCTGGACAACTGGGCCATCACCCAAACACCAAGGCGAGCGCATGTTCGGTGCGTAGTCCTGGCTTCCGGTTTCCAGCTTTGTACACGCAAAGGCAGCATCTCAAGCCTCTCAAGATCCTCCCTGCAGTTCAACCAACATGGGCTACAATCCTTAAGCTTCCAACCCATACTCAATCAATACCTACCGCAACCAACGTGTCATCTTCACACTCTCATCTAGTCTCAGCAAAGTTTAGGATGTATGTTGATGTCAACAATACGTTCCCAATACCATGGCTGCACTCTGGATCTTGCAAGTGGGGAACAAGGAGAAATCTGCAATTAACTCGCCATGCCTTGTGTTGTTGGTTTACATACCCTGTGCGGCGCTTGGCGAATCGCGGATTCGCCTCACGGCTGGCTCCCCGGTCGAGCAAGGAATGCAATGCCTGGCGATGCGGCCCGACGAGCTCTGCGCAGCACGTTTCTCCACAGGAGTGGCTCATTTGCCCCCCCAGGGTTCTTCTACTTCCCTATTTCCCAAGAGGGTGCGCAACCCTGAGTGAGCAGGTTCTCCAAAATGGAATTGCACAAGCCATCTTTCCAAAAGGAAGTCTTCCAGAACGGGTCTATGCACTGCCATGTTGGTGGCTGGGCTTTTTGTGCGTCGCAAAGAGGGAGCGCTTGGTGGTGTTGCTGTTTTGGTTGTTTGGTGTTCAGGAAACGACTTTTCAGGGAAACCCAACATGACAGTTTTCTGGAAAGGGCCCCCCGCTTTTGATAACACATTCATAAACATTCCCATTTGCGCTGTGATGCTTGCTTCCGGATAGCCTGGGCTCTGCACACAATCAAGGATGCCCTGTCATACATGCCTTCTGCTGCGCTTTGTGTTTTTGCACAAAACTGGGAGTAGGCCTTCATGAAATACTCAAACTCAACAGGGTTGCTCCAACGACCGTAGCCCACGGGTAGAAACTTGGCCCGCTAAACGGATGCCAATGAAAACCAGACCACTCGGAGCAACCACGTTGAAGAACACCACTTAGATTCCAACTGGGCAAAGTATAGTGAGCCGCTCACTAAATTCACTGACTGCTAGATATCTGGGCCGAACCTCATGTAGCTTTGCATCAAACAGGTGCTTTCAAGATGGGTCCGTGGGAAGTAGAAGCTGACTTGCATTTGGGGATGTGTGCCCTCAAAAAGCGAGAGACACTCGGCGGGGCCTCGAGGCACCTCTTGAAGAAGTCAAGTCTGGTGCGATTCTCCTGCATCTCGCGAGAAAACCAGAAGGACCAAGCAAACCGGTGGCGTTGTTGGTGGATTCTCCTTAAAAACTACCGGAAGAGCTGAGCCCAGTGTGCGGTGCTGCTTTGGTGTCCATTGATCCACGCGAGGGCTCCAGACCTTTGAAGACATTATTTCTGATACGCGGGTAAAGTATGATGCCAAGGAAGGAGCCTTCGGTGGCTTTTCGAATGCAAATCACAGCCGCTGTCGCGATACATGTTGACCCAACCTGTGGGTATGAATTCTGGCTGGTGACCCTCCGGTGCACAATAGAAATTCATTGGGATGCATGTCCACCAACCATGGTCAAGGGAGTTCAGGCTGTTCCAACCGATGTGCGTTGCACTGAACAGGTGTTAAGAATGGCCACATGTATTGTCCACTTGTGACGGTGAGCCAGCATTTACTCTTTTGGCCTTCAAATATATCCTCGTGAGCAAAAAAAACACGGAAGATCTGAGGCGATGTTGCCTCATGGGGGTAACATGGTGCCATTTAAGGAACAGCCCTGTCAACAAGCCATGACACTGCACTGTGGTTTTCCCAAAAAACGGAAATATGAAGGGTCCGGTCTCCACCTTCTACTTCTACAGTGTCTTGCTTGATCCAGTGGCACCCATAGCACGTGTGATCTGCTCTAGAGGTACTGCACACATGAAAGTTAGGAGCGGCACTGGTATGTCCTTTCACGCATGTCATCTGCACAAAGGCAACAGTCGCGCACACACACCCACACACCCACACACCCACACACCCACACACCCACACACCCACACACCCACACACCCACACACCCACACACCCACACACCCACACACCCACACACCCACACACCCACACACGCATCATGCCAATTGTGTGTGTTGCCACGCGCAGCTCTCCCTTTCAAGTGGCCCAAAAGGATTTTCATGTCCAAGACTACCTAAGTGAAACATAGAGCCGGTGCGGTGCCCTTGGAGTTGCCACAAGAGCCCCCCCGAAAGATCTTCCAAGATTCATGAAATCCCCACACACACACACACACGGGCCCGAGACGCCCGAGGCGCCCGAGGCGCCCATCGCCCTAGGGGTCGCTTTGAACACTTCCAGCCCGAAACTCACTTGCTGAGTGGATGGCCCAAAAAAAGTCCAAACTTTATATCTACCACAAAAATGGTCTTCCCAAAAAGTTTAAAGTTCATGAACTCAGGAAGTGAGGAAAAGGGCTTCCTCTCCAAAAAAGACACGCCCCCTTCTTCGACGTGGAGGCCGCAAGGCGGAAGGCCGGAAGGCCGAAGGCGGGAGGAGGCTCCTGTATCCTGCGGCCGCAGAGCCGCTCGAACTCGATGATGTCCACCCGGGCCACACTGGCGTTTGGGGCGGGGGGGGGGTTCAGGCAGGTTGTGGGGAGGGTTGACAAAGTGTGTTGCTTGAATGGGAGGGGAGAAGTTGCGGTTATTAATGAAATCCGGTTCCGTGATTCTGGAAACCCAAGAAAATGTCCTCTCAGTTCTCCCATCCAGACACCCCCATCCAGACACCTCCACTGCAGGGTCTCTTGCAAAATCCTTGAGTCCTCAATGGTCTGCTGATTCTTAAGGCATAGTCAAGAAGGCAGAGACTCCCTCAATTGCGCCTTAAGGCCAACAGGATCCACGCAAGTCACACAACCAATTGCCCATCCCAGAAGGTGTCTGCCTGTAGTGGATGGGCATCGGCGCCACGACAGAGCCAGGCGTCTCTTTTGGTCGCAAAGATACCTGGGCGCGTAGAGGAACCCCATGGCACACGCAACAAGACAAACCAGCTTCAAAGAGCTTCCATCTGAACCAAGTTCTGCAAGGACAACTCCAGGTGCTGGAAAAATGTTCGCTCTGTGCACCCGATCTTTTCCGGTTCCAATGGTTCAATTTGAAAATGTCCTGAAACGTCGTCAAACACGGAACCCCAAGCCCCGTGAGACCTTTCAATGTGGATGTTTTCTAAAATGGCAAAAGAGAGAACCCTAAGTTGACAGAAGGCTACCTTCGCTTCTTGTTGAGACAAACAATCGGGCTCCTGTTGCACCTCCTTTACAAGAAAATCCTCGAAATCAGCTGGTATAAGTAGTTTTCCAACTGGACCAAATATTCGACTTGGCATCCCAGGAGAATCTGGCATGTTTCATGGGCAGCTATTCATTCTTGGTCGCCATCTTGGTATCAACGTGCAATCAGCCAATGGAACTGAAACATCCAAGATGGAGAACTTGTTTGATTTTTTGCAGGAGTTTCCATTGGGGACACCAGTTTTGAATGTAATCACTCGCCCCAAGCAACGTCCTTTTCGCGTTGGACACGGACTGAGACCTGGACAATGACATAGTGATGCCCGGGGTCGGCCGGCATCTCATGCATCTGGCGTGGACAACTGGGCCAAGGGCAACTTCTTCATGTGCAATTCCCAGTAGATCACAGCTTTTGCACTGGGGAACCAACCATCTTCCTTTCAGTTTTGTTTGGGCGTCCTTGGTTACTCTGATAAATATGACTGACAAATGCAATCACGATTGCCATCCCAAGGCATTTGTCTCTCAACTTGGCCTGGAAAGTAGGGCAGCCCAATGGCTCTTGACCAGGCTTGCACTATTTGTTCACTGACAGTGAGACAGGGCCAAATGTGCCAGCCCCCTCAACAAGAGTTGAACACCACGCAAATATGTTTCCCTCAGTCTGGTTTCTGAGAGGACAATGTCACTGCTGTCAATGAGGGAATGGCAACTGGATCCTATTGCAAGTACTGTGCCCTGGGAATGCCCAGGCCACCAGCGCACGCCGACTTTTGCAGGGTCTATGTAGAATATGTCCACCCTGGAACCCGTGATGCGAACCATAGTTTATGGGCTTATTAACTAGGCCGCCTAGGCCTGCTGGCTAAATGATGGAAAGACCAGACACTAAAGGCCCGACAAGGATTATCTCTTGACGCTTAACAGAAACGCAACCCCTCTCAAAAGGTTGATGACCATACCTACAGTCCCCAAGTTTGGTGGTCCGGAGGCGGCACCCGGACCCCTCTGACTTGCTTCGAATGGCTAGAAGTAGACCAAAAGGCCTTTCTAAGATCCACATTTCACCAAGTGCAGAAGCCCCTAACAGTCCTCCAACAACGTGAAAAAGGACAAGAACACCAGATCTTGAGACGCCGGGTTGGACCCCCCCCAAAAAAACTCCGCTGGAGAGATCCAACTCACCTCGCCTCCCGAAACCGAGCGACCACATACTCCCGGAGCTTGGAGGTGAGCTTCTCCACCTGTTCGCGACTCAGCTCTTTGGCTTTGCCTGCAACACACCAGGCACCCAAACAAGAAGCCCCTGGTACACAGGCCTGCTTGTGCTGGAAAGCTGTTGATCGTATGTTGCAGTGATGCAGATGATGCAATTGAATTGGTGTTGGCGTTTGGCTGTACGATGACGAGGAGGGGATGCCGGGAATGCGGGATGATGGGAGGATCCCCTCTTGTTCCCAAAACAAAACAGATTGCAAGCAAGCAAACAAAGCCCCAAGTTGTGAGCCCTAAGTTGTTGCATGCAATCACATGCAACCCCTAATATCTCAAGGGACTATCGACATCGTGAGGTTGCGTCCATTTCCGGCAAACCCATCTAGGAGGCTGTGCTCAGTGCCCCTGTGAATTCCCCTAAAAGAGTGCTAACAAAGGACAACAATTCATAGTTCTTGCCAAGGACCCATTTGAGACCTGCCACCGAAGAGAGGGTTGGTCCCGCCACAAAAACTGCAGAAGCTTTGGGCTGGGACCGAATCCCCAAACAGGCCCTTATGACTTTTTGATGAACCCGGGATGCTCCAAAGGTGCCCGTCACTGCAGCGCAAGGATCCCATACGATTGTCTATTGTGCTTTGGTACGGTTGGGTGGAAGTAGATGCCACACTTACCCAACTTTTGGTCAAGTCATCCCCTTCACTGACCGATGGAAAGGGAGTTGTCGTGCAATCGACCTTTTCCTGGGCGTACTTGTTTTGAGAATCAGAACCCTTTGATTAACAAGGAAAAACACACATATGTCCAGTAGTGATAAATTCAACTGGGGGAAAACACGTTCTGAGTTCTTAAGCAAATGGACGTGTACATTTGCCCAAAGAGCACCAGGGGCCGCCTCCCACTCGTTCGCGTTCCGGCGCGAGAGGCTGCGCTCCTGCCAAAACGAGCATCGCCGGATATGGTGGTTCACTCCAGAGTACTAGCGCACCTTTTGTCAAATCAGAGGTTCTATGTTTAGTGTCAGAAGGATCTATCTTGGAGCATTACTCTTATTTGTGGTGTCCTCCAGATTCATTCCAAAACCACAAGCTTGAGGTTCACATCGCTGGAGGACGATCACGTGAGCTCCCCCCAAAAAAGAACAATGATGCTTGGCTCCAAGGTTAAAGCAATCTGTGCATGAACTCGTCTAACTGATCGCTCTGAAATAAAAGTGGAGCCCCACTCAATGGTCATTTTGAGTCATAAGGTTGTCTTTTTGGAGGAAACAAAGGCATTCGCTTATCCTTAACAAATCCGTTCACCATCTGTTCTGCTGCGCATGGAGCTGTAGCCCCGCTGCTCACGCGATCTGAGTCCTTGCCAGTGCTCGTGGCAGGGCCCGTGGCCTTGACATCGAGAGCAGCTTTCTCAGCGGTCGAAGCTCGTCAAAATGACCCAATGGTCGAAGCCCTGAAACAGGCACAAGCACCCACAGTGCCATCACCAACAGCCATGCTAGAGACCTAAACAGCAAGCTGTCAAAAGCGCTGCGAAGCGGGGAGAAAAAGAAAACACAAAACAAACAAAAACCAGCCATGCCGGACTAGACCTAAACAGCAAGCTGTCAACAGCGCGTCGAATCGGACTGATACAGCTGCCGTTGACTGCTCGCAGCTACCGTCCCCGTCCCTCATTGGACACAACTCATAGCACTATCACATGCTTGACCATGCTGACCTGCGTGTAGAAGATATTGCACATTCAGAGAGCCGCCACACACACATGTTTGCTTGGACCTTAGTCAAAAGCATGACTGATTGCCTCAAACAAGTGCCTTATCCAAGCCCTCATGTGACTGAAAGCACCCGCAACGTAAGATGACATCATTGGCAATATATGTGCCTCGTGGCTTCAGATTCTTAGGCGCGACACTTGGGCTACGTTTCTTCGAAGCAAGCCTTTCCAAAAGCTTAATCTTCTGAACCACAAGAATAATGGGGAACCAGGCAATTAAAACAAAAATACAGAAATCTGCAATCCCCATTTTGGGGCCTTCAAAGGCTCCGACCAGACCAGAAAATCCACGACCTTTGGTCTTCTCAGCTCCTGGCCGGCCCCACATCCTCTTCGAAGATCTCCACTGGGCCTGACGCTTGGCCAGGCGCATGGCAGGCAGTCGGAATTCACTTGGTCTAACTGGAATCGCCTGGCAAAACCCGACCTGGTATCTGCATTGGTGTAGTAAAGGTGGGGACCCCCTGCCCGGAAGGAAAATTCGTGTTGTACACCACCATTTTGCTACACTACAGTGGCCAATTTGGTTTTGGTCTTGCATAGTGCGATTTCGCGGTGACCCTTCCTTCCCCTGGGATAAAATAGGTTGATGCGCAGAGATGCCACCATCATGCTGACCGCAGCTCACTAGAGGTGAAAATACCAAAAGCCGACATACTATCATCACAACAAATCTGGAACATCACAAGGTCAAAACGTTGCCCTTGGACAAGTATGTAAGCACGTGGGTCTCAGATTCCGGCCTGGAAGGTTCTGCGTAACAGTGCCCAAGCCAGATTTGACACTCAGCGGCTCCGTCGTCACTGTAGCTCTGCACGCCTGAGCTGGAATCCGGTTGCTACATCTGTCCGATACGCGATGCAAAGGGTTGCCTCAAAGGCTAAAAACCCCAAAATGCCGCTGGTGGTAGGCGATGTTTTGCCCAGTGGCCAGCAAACAAAGACATGTTCATCGGTTCAATTCAAAGGGAACACACAAAACGAGAAAGGGCGCCACTGGGCAACTGGGCTCGAGTTGATTTTATTGTGGCTGGTGGTTGCCTTGCCAGTTCTTTAGCCTCGTGCTTCCAAATGGCGGATTCCTCAACATATGAAAGTTAACAGGGGCCAAGCCAAATCATAGATCCCAGCCACTGGCACTTCTGGCGCTGCTACAGCGGTGTTTCCAGCCTGTGGCCATCCGGCGTTTAAACTTGGTCGACCCCCCAACCAACCAAGAGCAGTTGAAAGTGTTCGATTGTCAAATTGCGCTTTGCATTGCACCGCATCCGCATTTATGCAGTTCATTGTGCTTGTGCGCGCCCCATAGCCCAAAACCTGTCAAAAACCATGCCAATTGTGGACGTGGGACCAGCGTCCAATACCTGAGCACATGATCCAAAGCGATCCAAAGCGATCCAATGGCCGGCCCTTTCCACCATAGCCGCCGCGGGGGGCGCCACTTGGGCGGCCACATCTCTGCCATGTCGCAGGGTGGCCGCATCTGCCTTGGAAGCGGCGCAGGTTTACAACAGAATTTGGGATCAAAGGTGTCCGCGGGTTGCTCCAAAGACTGAAGGGAACGAAGGGGTCCCTGACGGGACGCCAAAGGCAACCAAGCCAATTTTGTCCCTTGCGCTTGGTCTTTGAGGAACGTCTCAGCTGTATCTCTTGAGGCTCTGGGGACGGTTGGGAGTTACACGGCCATAGCCACAGTCAAGTTTGGGTCCCTCCCAATCTCAGGTCCAAAACTGTCGGGACCCGTTTTGTCCCTCAAAGATTCAGCTGCAATTCAGAAAATTTGGCAGCGATGCAGAGCGTCTGTTTCTGTGGAACCCGTGTTTGGTTCCATAGGCAAGCCAAAAGGAAACCGTTGTGCTGGGGCGTCACTAGATTTTTTGAGACACCCCCATGTCTTTTCCATTTGAAACAAACCCTTCCCGGAGACAACTTTTCTATGGGAGCTTCTTGAATATTCCATGGGGTACATGTATATGTTAGTTGAAGTTGCACCGTTGCACGGTACCGGATGTTCTCTGTTCATTCATTTGAGGGTCAGTACCCAGCTGAGGACATACCCGCTTTGTTTTCCCTTTACAGTGGTCCTCCCCGAGCTTTTGGACAGGGAGTGAGAACTGGGAGTGACTTCCATCAAAGGTAAACTCATGGGAAGCACACATGGCCATGGGATCAAAATCCCGTACCCCCAGTGAACATCCCAATCCCCACTAAAATGGTTGGTGCACCTACCCGTGAAATACATGGTGGCATCCTGGAGTTTGTGAACCCGGTTGATTGATAAGAAGGATGCTACCTCGTACTAGGCTTGTCATTCATTCTAGGCTTGTCGCAAGTTTTCCTCAAGAAAACCCCAAACATTGCGGGATGGTAAAAACCCAGCCCACAGTTCGGACGTGTGACAACGCTCGTATCATCATGGGTTTATGAAATCGAAGGGATCCTTTGGGAAATCATGTGCCATCAGACCACCAACATGAAACCCGCAAGAGGGTCCGAATTCAGGAAATGCTCCAAACCAGGACCCCTCAAAGTTTCATGGTGGTGGACATGAGGATGCGTGCGCCAAGCTTGGTGCAACCCAGCGTGCCTCAGCGGGGAGGTACTCCGCGGCTCTGGTGAAACTCAAGGCCTGCGACGAATCCTCCCTGAGTATCCCGCTTTGGAGTGTAAAAGGGAAACCAACCGGAGACTGCCACAACAAAAAAATGTGGAACACGAGTGTCATTTGCCAGGTACCTGTGATCTTCGTTTTCAAGGAACATCACCCTTTTTATCATAGTGGAATTCACTGTTCCATAAAGTGAACTCTCCAGGAGTTTCACAGAAAGCGCCCCCATCCCCCTCCCAATATGCCACAACCATGGATGCTTGCGCGCCGTTTGTTTGGGAGAGTGTTCCCCATCGTTGGTTACAAGCCCGGTTCGTTCCCAATTGGGCCAAAGCCTTGTTGCCAAAGAACATAAACCAGGGCAGGAAGCAGACAGCAGGGAGGAGACTCACAGGAAGCTCTGCAAGTTGCTAGGCCTCTCTTCCGGACTCACGCCAAGCTCTTGCCCCAAATTCTCGCTTGCGTTGCCATGTTGGCGCGGTCCTTTCAAGGAGATCTTGCCGCTGATCTGCCCTGCCATGAGTCGCTCCCGAAGCTCAGCCTCTTGGGGCCCGCTTTTGGAGAACTGGTCGGAGGCGCCTTCCAGATACTTGCGCAAGTCGCAGAGCAGGAAGGACACAGAAGAGCAAGGCAAGCTGGAGGCTGTGAGGGACGCCGGGCTCTGTGAGTCTGTTTTTGTTTTGAGACCTTGCAGCCGCAGCACTGGCAGTAGCAACTTCGGAAGAGTTTCTCTCGTTGCACCAGGCGGGCAGGACCAATGCTCTCATGTTCACGGCCTGCCTCAAGGCTGCCTGTGGATCCTGTGGCAAGGTTGAAGAAGAACTGGCGCAAGCCAGCCTCAACTGCAGGCTGGGCTTGCAGGTGTTCAAGACTGATAGGTGCAAGTGCCAACCTGACACGGGTTCAGGCACTGGTGGGGCGACAACCCCAATGTAGTGAGCAGGAGGAAACCTCCGCATGTCACGACGCACACCAGCAAAGGCCAAATCGCACAGCGCACCCCTCGCACACCATTCGCACAGGACGCGGCCAAAAGCGGGGCCAAGCAAGGCACGGAGGGAGGAAAGGCGCAAGACGCCAGAAAGGGACAGGAGGCCCCCAAGGCGGAGGCAAGAGAAAGGCCCGGCGCGGGCACAGGCTCAACGCAAGGCGCAGCAGTGCAGCAAAGCACAGGCTCAACCCGGGTCAAAGTCACTGCCGGCGAGCCGGGAAGGGGGGCGCCCAACAAAAGGGTGGGCCGGATGCGTATCCGCCAAGGCACGCATGACAGCAAGGTCACAGGCAGCGACCTGCGCGGCGGCACGGCCCGCAAGAGAGGGCGCAGAGGCGAGACAAACCCAGCCAGACTTGGACGTGGACCTTGGCTTCTAGCCATCCTCGGGCTGCCTCGGCATCGCCTCTATGACGCTGGCATGTAAGCGTCAGTCGACGCCTGGCGATGGGCCCACCACTCCGCCACGCAGGCCTGAGCGACTGCTTCGCCAGCCCGGAGGCTGCGCCCATACCGTGCAGCATGCAGCCGCTCAAAAAGACCTGGCAAGCAGCCAACGCGCAGCCAGGCAGCCCAGAACTCAAGGCCGGTTCCAGGAGGGTACCGCGACCTCAGCAGCCTCACGCGCGCGCCTGGCCGCTGGTATCTAGCTGACGTAGGGCATTGGACATCTGCATGGCCGTGTTGGACATTTTGCGACCCTGGCTCCGTTCGCCAGTGGAGCTCTTCGGCGCCGTTTGCCCAGCCAGCGACCCAGGCCAGCAACGTCTCACGGGGCAAGGCCAAAATGTCTGGGGCCAGGACCAACAAAGGTGGTGCAACAATGAACAGCTCATTGGGGACCCAGCAATTTCAGGCCTGTTGGGAATTGGAAAAGATGGTTGTCAGAGATGGCTCGGAAGCACGTGGGCTGTAAGAATGGTTCCCTGATGTCTCCACCCTGGGAAGTACAGCAAGGATGTTTCTCCAAAACTCCCACAGACATCTGCGTCGTCTTCCAGCAATGGAGCCTTATGTTTGATTTATTTCGATCTAGAGAGGAATGCAAAAGCAAAGCATCGCCGTCGGCCGCCGGGGAAGCGTCTCTCTGAGTCTTTTGAGGATAATTACCCGTTGGGGGGTGGTTTTAAACGACAACGAAAGGGCAAACTGCCATCTCAGGTGAGTCAGAATCAAAACCCGGCATTCAAATGGTCGTAACCCCAGAGCCATTTAAAGAATCAAGAAGGCGGATATCCGCAGCTATTTGTGGTTGGGATTGTCCCTCACTAACCTTCATCTACCCGAATCACGTGGCTCAGGTGGTCCACGATTTTGAGCCACCTCCGTCTTCGGGACCCGCGCTGAAAGCGCGACTCAAGGGGCCCCGAGGCTCCAGCATTGCCCAGGCCGCTGGACAGCTGCTGCCTCTCACTTGCCCAGCAGCTGTTTGGGACGAAACGGGTGGCGAAGGGTTCCACCAGCCCCAGCTGACATACTGCGGATGGACGAAATCCTGCACCACCTAAGAACCCCTGGAATGATGATTCCCCTGCACATACCAACAAACAATGGTTTTCCATGGTTTTCAGGTGGTGCAGGAATTTGTCTATCCAGACCATGCCCTTGCATACGCTCATGTGCCGCGTATTCCTGTTGGGAATTCGCAGTGAAAAGGGAATTGATGAATAGGGCACGCTTGTTAACGGCATGCACAGCTATTTTCGCTTGAGAGTTGGAATGAAGCCATCAAACATATAGTGCCCCCAGTGCACGGTTCACTGTTCGGGACATTCCGAATTGCATCAATCTTCCTTGAAAGCAAGGGTGCCAACCACAACTCGCCGTGAAGGTGATGTTTACACTGCCAGAGGGGATCTGTAGCGACGAATCAAACATCCAAAAGCGCGCTGCCCAGCGCTTCCCGTCACCGTTGTAGAGGTAGAACAGTCAACAAGCTGGCTCCCCACTGCATTGGCTTGCCTGAAAAATCCGGATTGTGTCTCCAGTGCACCCCCAACAACGAGCTTTGAGGAGCATTCCCGTGCAGCTTGGTTTGCATCCCGTTCCAGCCCGAATTGCCCTGCTTGTAGCCCTGGTACACATTCTCTGTGTCTTTTGGAGGGCGCCCGTTCCGCCGGTTTTAACGGGCTTCCGAATCCCATGCTGCGGGTGGACCCGTCTTCGCCTTGTGCCTATGAGGCCTATGGGGGGGGCACCCGTTCCCGTGCCGGGCCTCGCAGCCGGGTCTTCCGGCTCGCGAACCAACACCTCGCTGAGACGCCGTGTGTCTTTGGTTGAGGCAAAAAATGCAAAAAGTCGACGGCTACTTACCTGCAAATACGCATGGAACCCAAGAAGCGGGGTCCTCAAAAGGAGATCTTCCAAAAGGATGGACTGTGAAAAGTGCTTGTCGCCTTTGTTGTTGAAGGAAAACCAAAAGGAAAATCGCCCGTTCTGGGTCCCAGACCAAATCCGTATTTTAACACATACACATATCGCTCTGTCAGTCTGGAGGCGTGTTTCTTCTGAAAGGCATTCCTTATTAGAATTGTTCAGGGGCCAGGGACGCTTAAAATGAACACCTGGTAAGAAAGCGGTCTACCTAAACGCTGTGGTAAAGAAGTTGAACCTCGGTTGTGCGTTCCAGCACGCTCCATGTAGCGGCGTGGTCAAGAACCGAATCTCTCTGTGCCTGAAGGGGGCGGAAGGGAGCTATGTGCAGCTTTCAGAGTTGAGGGAAAACGGGTGTTTCTGGAGGGGAATGTGTCAACTTGGCCAGTCGTGCACCAAGATTCTCGCCCCTCTCCTCCAAACGTGCTGGGTGTTTGGGTGGGTTCCATGTTAGTCTGCGGTTTACTTAGCTCCTGGAATTTTCCTGATATTTCAATGTTCTCGCTGGGAGGAAGGCTGGATAAGGACGTAAAGGACCACCCGCTCCCTGTTCAGTCCAGTTGGGTATGGCTCCCCCCCCTTAATGGGGAACTTGGACAACCAGTGTTTAGGCTCCTAAGGGAACCATGACCAAGGCCATAAGAAGTTTTGACCATGGCACGCACGGACACATCGGGTCTGGTGAGATCTCAGCCATGCTTGGCAGGGTATTTGGGTTTTTAAGCAGGGATCCTTACATTATACACCTGAGCATTGCAACTTGTAAATGGTGGTTTCACTTTATTTTGGTGGAAAAAGCCATGTTTCAAACGGGAAAAATGCATCTTTTCAGGAGCCCTGTTCAGTTTGAGCCTCTAAAATAGACTCTAAGCGTCCATGGCGAGGGCTCGGATCCCCACTCCTTAAAGAGCAAATTATCGGACAGGAAGTTCTCCCCTGCATTTTGTTTGCATGGAAACCAGACTGGGGGTCTTTCACAAAGCAGAAAATGACTGGAGGCATTTCATCTGCAGTGCCTTGAATTCGCCTGTGCCGAGGCCAGATGCATCCAGGAACGACTGGTTCGCGACGGCGCGAGTGGGATCTAGGCCCTGCGCTGCCAACACCTCCTCGCCATCCCGCAGCACATCACCGACCCGCTCCTCAGGAGGAATTGGTTCGGTGAAAGAGACATGGATGGCTTCTAGGAAAAACCCTTGAAGGTTTCAATCACAGGTTGCGAAAGGCAAATCCAAAGGAGGGGAGTTGTTTGAAGTGGAAACCCCAAGAAGGATGCTTCAAGAATACCAGTACTTGCTTAAAATCGTACAGCAAAAAGGAGAGGGATCAAACAGAAGTTGGTGGAAAGGAAACGCAAACAGAAAGGAATGTAATTAAACAAGGGTTGCTTAAAGGGAACCAAAAGGAGGATGCGTCAAACAAGTGCTGTTTAAACAGAGAGAGGAAGAGAGAGAGAGACGACAAGTGGTTAAACCGATACGGGAACTGTTCACAAGGAAGACAATCATGGAGGATGTTCAAACCAGAGTTGCTTAAAAGGAAAACCAGAACCACAAGGAGGATGCTTCAAACAAGAGTCTTTTGAAGAAATACCAAAAAGGAGAATGTCCAAACAAGAGATGTTGATTCAAAAGGGAAGGCAAAAGGACGATGATTCTAACAAGAGTCGTTTAACAGGAAGACTAACAAGGAGGATGTTCAAACAAGAATTGTTCACAACTGCGAACAAACAAGAGTTCTTCAAAGGAAAAAAAGGCAGCCGGTCGCTTCATCCATGTTGAAACAACTACAATGAGTTGGCGCCTAGGCGCGCGCGCGCGGAAGGCGCGAATGGCTCTAGAAAAAAAGAGAGAGAAAAAACAAAACAACTATAATCAACCAGATTGCAACCCGTGGACTTGTTCAATCAAGAGAGGTTCAAGCCATGTCTGAACACGCCCACCGCTCCTCGCCCGGCAGGTGTGCCTGCTTGGTGTTGGTCAGCCTAGCCGGACCCATGAGAGGACCTACTTGAACCGCATGTTTGGCTGGGTGAAGATAGATGGCACAAGAACCATGGCCATGGTTTAGTCCCTTTACTTACCCACATAAAGTAAATTGTGCCATCTACTTTCACCCTGGTCCTGTAGTCAGGTTTTCGCTTGGATTTGTTGAATTTAGGGGGCTGTGACATACGTCGTAACTCCTCTACGTTCAACAAATCTAAAAGTTGCTGGGAACCGCCAAGCGAACAGCGAACGGCAGGTTGATGGATTTTGTCCAAGGCGCCCGGTGCCAAGCGTCCATTGTTGACCAATGTTAAACTCCGCATTGGAGGACCATAATCATTCCCGGCGCAAGACCCTTGAATAAGATGTCCTTCATTCTAGAGCCGTTCCTCAGATTCGTATGGTCTTCCATGTGTATACCTAAACGTACCCGGGGCCGGGCTATGTCCCAAAGAAAGGCATCATTTAAAGGGAAGATCTGGAAAATTGCCAAGAAACAGCATTTTGTCATCTTTCCAAACAAACATACAAGGACCCTGAGCCATGACCCCGAGTCGGCGCCTTAAGAGACGGCCCTCCACTCGCGCCCGAGCCAGTGCTGCACGTATCTTGGAAGCAAGATCCTCAACCTAAGTGCCACGGTCTGGCAAGGAGTCGTCAGCGCAAGTGCACACCACCTTGGGTGGTCTTTTCTTGATCCCCCTTTCCGTTGGCTTTTTGCCGGGATGCAAGTGCCAGACCGACACCATTTGGCTTTTTTGGGGGGCCTGTTAGGAACCCACCGCTGGCTTGTGAAACATGCTTGGCTTTAACAAGTGCAGCTGATGCTTAAAGGATGTGTCCCATCTGCAACTAGGTCAGCACGCTCTAGCCACAGGCTGCGAGAGTTCGGAAGCACATCTCGGGAATGTGCACCACGGCAATTTGGAGCCCAACTGTGTCTGGCTTCCCATATTCGAGCAACAAACAGGGGTGCATTGCCGCAGCCACATGAGGTTCACACCAGTTCACACATGGCCATGGGTCAAAATCCAAATCGTACCCCCAGTGAACATCCCAATCCCCACTAAAACCGACTAGAATGGGTGGTTCACCTACCAACCAAAATGGGATCCCAAAACGGTTTTGACCACCACAGCCACATGGGCGCGCAGGGCATCTGACACGTTTGAGGCAACGACAATGGCATCTTCGTCGATGCAGACCAAAAGCTTCCCCACCGTGCCGGCACCTCAGAGTCTCAGAGTTGAGTTGCCAGGCCCCTTGCCAGGTACCCTGGGATGGGCAGCTGCAACTTGCTGGCCGAATACCCTGGGTACACAAAGGTTGTAGCATCATATTTGACGCGCCACGACCCTGGGATTGGGCAGCCCCTGGAACTTGCGGGAATACCTAATGATGAATGGCTACACAAAAGTTGTAGTAGTAAATCATGATTTGACCAACGCCAGGGACACCTAGCATACCTGCCCTGAATCGCGCGACGACGCCCTGAGATTTCAAGAGAATCTGCTGTTGAACCACTGGTGGAAAAACGTCCTCGACGTTCAGCTGCATGTCTCGCACAACCGTGGCACGAAGGCGGAAGATGCTGCACAGGGTTACCTAGATTTCCCACTTCAAGCCTCCTACCTAGAGGTGATATTCAAACTACCCATTGCCACCCGCAAAGGGAACTTAGATTCAACACCATTCCACTGGTACTGAGATGCCCTTGTGCAAGCTGCGCAGAAAGAAAAAAAAAGAAAAAGAAAAAAACCGCGAGCTCCGCCATAGCAGCCTTGTCCGTTTGGGATTTGTTTGGCTCCCTCAAAAAGGGAAGAAACAAGGTAGTGTACGCAGGCTTCAGGGGGAAGGAAGAAAACATGCAAGTGTAGGCTTCCTCTTAGACTGTCTTGGAGGTATACCACACCTGGGCTGCCCTCAGATCCCCCGCTAAAAGTTTAACTGTTAGTGGGTTAAATGGAAACTACCACTAAACACTAAAAGGCTAAAAAGCTAAGGAACCGGATGGCTGGGAGCCACCAAAAGTGTCCCGATGGTAGCAAAAGGACTCCTGTGACTTTCGCCTCAGCGCCGCGCCGATGAGAGCGACTACATTGAGCCGAACTTTCGGCCCGGCCCTGGCGTCCGGAAGACGGGAAAAAGCAAACGGAACCCGTAGACGCCCACCCAAAAAGGATGCATACCAAAACCACCTGATGCACAAGAGGATCCTCCAAATCAGCTGGTAAAGGTGGTGTTTAGTCTGGCCCAAATTAAATGTATAAATATCCTTTAAGGGACCTTGAACGTCTGTGAGGACATTTTGGTGGGCCCTCCGTGTCCTCTCCAAGCTAATAAACTATCAGTAATCTGGTCGATTGCTCGCATGAGCCACGAGCAATCTTACTTGAGAATTTATTGGGGCAGTGCCCCCGGGTTCCTATATACGTTCATTGCAGTGGTCGCCCGGCCCTGGTTTAGAGGGAAATCGCGGAGATGGGTACTCCCCAACCAGATACTGCCAACAGCATTGTCCGCTCACCATGCTATAATTGTCTGATTGGGAAAACCTTTCAACATGGTTAGTGGAAATCTCCTGTTTCTATATGATTTGCACGCGACACTCCCCAATTGAAATTCCTCCCCACATGATAAGTGGTCCGGCACTCACCCACGAGTAGACTGACCAAGTATGACCAGGTGCCTGATGTCATACCTCTTCCAAATGCTCTCAAATTCCCAACTATCCATCAGCACTTAATCACGCAGGACACACAAAACATGAGCCACGGACAACATGGCTTGTTCGCCAAGAGGATATGCCAAATTGGGTAGGCCCCCTTGGTTTCAATGGTAGCAGAGCCCCTCCATCGTCTACCAAAGCAATCGTCAGCCAATAGCCAGGACGTATCCACACAAGGCCACACCACAGCAATGAGCCGAAGTCGCTGACCAACATCCAAACTTTGTGGGTGTGTGTGTTGCGCGATTTACTTGTTGGTGGTTCTGATGCCGTGACAGTTACAACACCGGCTTTAAACCACCTTTGTCAGACGGTTCTCATGTGGGAGCCGTCTCTTCAGCACAGCCACACTATTCAGCCCGAAAGGTAGCCAAAAAGCAACAGCACCCCAAAAAAGTGGTCAAGCCTGTTTTAGGGGGATCGCCATGCCCTCCTGCAAACTAACATGGAACCCAAACGGCTCCCATATTGACAGGAATCTCCTTTCAACCCCCCCGCCCCCTTTTGGGTTTCACGTGTATTTGAGGAGAGTGTTCCAAAAAACATTGTCAAATTTCAGGCACCCCTTGGTTCATCCCGGCGCCCTGAGGTGCGCACGCGCTCCCGGTGCTAGACATGGCCCGCGGGCCGTCTTCCAGTTGAGCCAGCGCAACGCACGTGTTTTGGAGCCGAGCTGAAAAAACGGAAGGTCGACCTGTGGAATGTGTGAAGTTGCCATAGAAGGACACCTATTGTGTTTGCCTCTCTAATAGTGAAGGATTAGCAACTAGCTCATGTTTACAGGATTCCTCGGATGAGTTTTTCTACTCCAGATTCAGCAATCAAGGCGAAAGCAGGTATCACGCTTTTGTTCTATCTGGTGGCCATGGATAAAAAGATACCCCTTTGATTGTTGGCAACTCGAGCGCAGAACCCTCCAAAACAAAACAAAACATCGTGTGCCACGTGGCAACTCGAGTACTAGGTCCTCCTGTGGAGAGGTTGGAATAGGGTACCCTTTTTTCTCTGTAGTCTCCTCCTCCAAAAAAGAAACGGTAAAAGGGCACCACTGGACCTAGAGAATCTTCCGGCTGCTGCTCGCATCGCGCGACGCGATGCGAAATTTTGGCCGCTACTCGGTCCGCTCTTCGCGAGCCGCTTCCTTGGTGACCGACTCTTTCCCCTGATCCGTCAATGTGGCCCAGTGCCATTTGGGGTGTGTTCTTCTTGAGGGCGGCCTTTTTGGGGGGCTTAAGAGGCAAACAGAAAGGAAACCCATTCTGGGGTACCCCTATTTTGACCCACATGGCTTGGGTCAAAAATAGGTACCCCAAATGGAACCCTGCCAAATGGAAACTTGGACTACAACCTGCGGTCCCCTGTTTGTTTAATTTTGACCATACCCACATACCCGTTCATTCAGTCCTCCCCACAAAGGAAACATCGTCTTGCATAAGCCCAGGTGCTATCGCCAGAAACCTTTGGAACCCTTCTGGAAGCCGCATGGCCTTGAGGATTCCAACGCCCCGTGTTCCGCGGTCCAAACAAAGTTTCGGCAGTGGCCCTGGTCAATTACCCATTTCCCCGAAAGGCGGTGGTTTGAGGGGTAGAAGTTTATGGGTTAAAGTTCATATTGTCTGATAAACAACCCTGCCCACCTCCCTAAGTTCTACACGCGGCCAAGATGGGACTAAAGCCACGAAGACGTTGATTTGACTGCGGCAGAACAAATTGGCGTCCTGGTGCTTTAGGACTGTTCTGTGTGAAGAGAAACCTACACAACACACACAACAGACAACTAACGGTGTGGGTGTTGTGGTTGAAGTTGCGAGTCTCAGCCCCGTCCTCACAAGCCAACAACAGGCCACTATTTGAGTCAATCATGTTGTAAGAAGACTAGCACAAGGAAGCAAAGGAACATCGATGCCCGAAGGATGTACGCTTTGTCTTTTCGGGAGTTTGTGGAAGTTCAACATTGGGGACTATTTTGGATGTTGGAATGGGAGCCACACGGAAACCCAAAGGTCTCTTTGACAGGTCCAGCACCATTGACCCATGTAAGGATTGGGAATAGCAACTTGGCCATCACACATGCACCCTGAGACCTATCACCAATCTCTGGTCCTCAGTTCTGACTATGAACCTTTGAAACAGAGAGTTATCGTGGATTAGATTGCTCCTTGCAACTCTGCAGGAGAAACGGTCATTACGTATGCCTGGGCGCTTCATGTCTATCAGCATAAATGCAAACGAAAAGCTGAAACATTAAACGAAACAAGATCAGAGTATCAAATCGCTCTCTTTGGCATAAATGCTGTCAAACGTTCGCGCTGGGATTTCATACGCTGACAAGATGGTGGCGCAGCCACTGATTCAGGTGCGCAAGAGGAAGTGCTTGTATTGTTCAAGGGTGAAGTTTGTGTCGCGGTCAGCATCAGCTTGCACGACCAGCTCAGAAGGTGGCAATAATGTGCACATACTTGCGAAGGGGAGACACGAAAGGTATGTGTCGTAAAGTGGACCGGCCTTGAAACAAGAGCAACACGGTGCGAAAAGCGGACCGGGGGAAAGCGAAGCGAGCGAAAAGAGCGGCGAGAAGAGCAAAGAGAAAGGAGCAAAGCTGCCAATCAGCGGTGTGGGCGGGCGGATCACGGGGGAGTCGAAGGATGTACGAGGGGAGCGCGGGCGGGCCGATATCCCCCCGACCCCCTCAATCTAGCCTTGCTAACGCAAGGACAAACTCAAGCTAGCCTCCTTGAGGCTACCTTTCGTGCTTATGAATATCAGGATTCTTCCAGGCACAGGCACAGGCAAAGGTCTAAGCCATTGCCTTTCACGAAATTCAAAATTCACCAGCACTCTTCAACATTTCCCCCGCAGGCCCCCTGACCCACAAACATATTGTGGGTGTGGGTCAAAACTACCGCAGGTTGTAGTCCAAGTTTCCATTTGGCAGGGTTCCATTTTGGGTACACATTTCTGACCCACGGCCATGTGACACTGAAGCTAGGCTACGTGTCCCTCCTTTGCATTCATTCTGCGCCATGTTACCAGGGAGTCGGAGCCCACCCGTTCCATCGCTAAACCCGAATCGGCCGAGGCTCACGGCGGACCGCGCCCTGCGGGCCACGCTTTTCTATCAAACGTTCTCAGAGGTAGGTTCTTCGTTCTAGGGGTGCCTTCCATTTCCATTCCGGGGATCCTTCTTTTCAGGAAACCATCAAACACCCCCAAAAAAAAAGATCCGGTTTTTGAAAACAACGATGGTAACGATGGTCGAAAATAATGGGGAATCAACCCCTAGATTCGTGGTTGTTCTACCTCCAGTATCGCCGCCGGCTTGGATTTTTTCTTCAGCCAAGCCCTCTACGAACCTGGCACAGCAGAAACTAAAACTTAGAGCCCAAAGCTTGGCCACGGGAAGTCCAAACAGGAACTTGGCGCCTAAACTGCCGGAATCCGGTCAAAGCCACGCATGCTCGGCAGCCGTCTTGATTCTTTACATGGTGTTGATTCTCAAAAGGACCAGCATCCCTGGCATCACCAGCCAGCATCTCGGCCAGCATCTCCAGCATCCCCAGCATCCCCAGCATCCCTAGCATCCCTAGCATCATCTGCAACGTGTTAGCAACTAAAACCAAAAAAACATGGCGCAAATGCATCTCCGGCATCCCCCTACCAGGTTTACGCGTATCGACCATTCCACAATAATTCAAAGCCTGGAATAAGGCCCTAAGTAAAGGACCTTCATCATGGTGAGCTCGTTTAGCTCGTTCTCAAATAAAATGGACATGAATTGTGATCACATTTTGTGTCATGATTTGTTTCGGGCTGTTCTGTGCACCTCGAAATTGGCAAACGCTCTTCCACCACTGCCGCGGTGTTTTTTTTTCCCTGCTTGTGAGACACCACACACCTTGTTGAGAGGGCATGTTGTACGTTTCTCAAAACATGGCTAATCCCCGACGCTAGGAGAAGCTCGACTGATGTGCCTGCGGGGGATGGGTCAGTTTCCAACATACAATCAGCTGCGATCCAGTCGCCAACTGTGCGAAATAAGGAACAACAGTGACCATGGCGAAGGAGGCACCCCCTTTTCGTGTTGAGGGCAAAAGGGAAAGTGTCACTGAAACCAAGATTCCGTTGAGCAGACTTCCTTTTCCTCAAGCGCGGATTGCTTCAAGCTGTTCACCCCCGCAAAAACGCGCTCCTGCTCTTCGCCGTTCCCGTTGTCCAGGCTCCTCCAAGCCTGGGCGACAAACTTAAAGGCGAGAGAGGCGAGCAAAATGTAAAAAGTGGGGCTGGGCAAACCCCTTGTTTCAACATGTATACTGTGGATGGACAAAATCCTGCACCACCCAAGAAACAATGGGGTGGTATTTACAGGGGAATCATCCTTCCCAAGGTTTCTTAGGTGCAGGATTTCGTCCATCCACAGTATTACCCTGTTGTTTGAACAGTCTCCTTCTGGGCCCCATTTACAGCATTATTCCAGCCACGGACCTGGTTTTTTGACCTCCATGGACGGCTAGCCCCCTGCTTTCATGGGCGTTGCCCTCGGCTCATGCCGCAGCCTTAGGGGGAGTCCGATGTGTTCGAGGGAAGCCAAAACCCAAGCCCAATCCAGACTTTGAAGCATCTTGCTCCTTGCGGAAATCGAGCTGTGACTCTTTGGTGGAGTGTTGGCTATGTGCCATTGGATACTTTTCAGGAGAAGAAAAATTGCTTCTCCCCGGACCCTTCGTGGAATCACGGTTATGTGGCGTAGCCCCCTCCCCCTTGTCCTCCCCAGATGAACCACACACTGGGATGTGGAGATGGTGTTTGGTATCTTTGGGCCCTTGAATCCATCCAATAAGGAGGTTCCCCATCTTCACGGCATGCCCGAATAGACGTCCCAACTCCAAATCACAAAGCGATCGCTGGGAAGGCAAGGCACAAGATGAACCCAAAGCTGCCAGCTCAGGGTCGCCCCCAAGACCCTGTTGGATGAGAACAGAGAGGAACCAAAATGCCCAACTTGTCGCAACTGGCGGTCTAGTTGCAAACCTTGCTTTCCCATGGTTTGTGGCCGATTCACTTGCGATATATTAAGGGAGGCAATCGTATTTTCAGGGATTCTAGGAGTTGGGTGTAATTCACTTGCTTGCAGCATGTTCTTCTTTCTTCTGAGGACCGTGCCTCACACTGCTGCTCCACCAAAGACAGGAAGTCCTCCTGCCCAAAACACCGGCAGACCGCCCGACGGTCAAACTGACCCACAGCAACACGCCCGTTGTGCCGGTGAGTCGCACCCATGTTTTGTTGCTAACGCAAAAAAAGCAGCCAGGGCGAGCATAGCATGTTCGTTGAGAAGCAAGGCGAGATTATTTTCTTGAGTGGAGATAAACACAAGACACCCGAGTCATTTTTCTGGAACTCCAGCCTGAAGCGGAAGAACACATGCTACTTGGCCAGCTTTCTTCACACAAAGTGGTCAAGAACCTTCGGGCTTCCAGGCGATTGTGGGAAATACATGTAAATAACCCTTTCATTTCATACCAAGGTAGGCCATACCCACCTTGGCACTTCATCACTCTACAGAGTATCAAAGGTGACTCCTAAATCCAACTTACCACATGCGTTCAATGCTCGTCCGTCTCCTGCTCCTTGACCTCTCCCTCGGCGGCCGCGGGTTTGTTCACTCGGCCTCGCAACTCGCAGGGATCAGTTGGGTGCTTTGAGCTGTGCACAATCAGGTACTTAGCCGCGAGGGATCCAAACGCATACACCCTGCTACCCACACTTTCCTATTTTTCTGTTTAAATTGCAGTGTACAAAGGCTAGTTTAACTTGGGGCCCGTATGCAAAAGGGGTACCTATGCCAGGCATACGTGGCCGCGCAGTCAGGTCGCACAGGTCTGCACAGAAAACTCCTAAGTCGCGTACAGGAAAGGAAGGCCAAGAAGAGGCAGATGCCGGCGCAGGCCATCGTCAGGACCATGAAAGTCTTGACCTACATGGCAGCTATCACATGGGTGTGGCTTACGCAGGTTTGAGTCTTTGGTTCCATTTCCCAAGCTGCCATTTTGGTACATTTATTTGAGCCACAGCCACATGCACTCGTGAGGGTTTGCCTTTTGACCCCCGGTCTACAAACAAAGGGTTTTGTTTTAACAAATCCAGGGCCCCATTTCGCACTGCAAGGAGCTCACAAGGCGGACCCTGGTGAGCACAGAGTAGGGTCCTTCCCTGGCGTCTACCCTGGCCCCCTGGCAAGCGCAAAACACGAGTGAAGCACTGGGCACAAGACAAGAGCAGGGTCCTCATTCTCGTCCAAAACATAGGGAACCTCGGCACGGCCGCGGTCAAAATATGCAGCGCGGTCCCACAATGAACAGGGGAAAACTAGGGATCCGTCATCTCTACGCATGGATGTGGGTCAAAAATATGTACCCAAAATGGAACCCTGGTAAATGGAAACTTGGACAACCTGTGGTTTAATTTTGACCCACACCCACATAGCTCTCACACAAACGCGGGTTCTGAGCGAGAAGCGGCCGCTGTGGCCAGGGCAAAGGCATTGCCACACCTCCAAAGCGACGCAGAGTCGTGCCGGAATATGTACCTGCGGCCTATCAAGTTCCCTAACGGCCTTCATTTGGGGAATTGCTGGTAGTTCTTGGAAGGTGCTGAATGAGAGGTCTATGTTCGCAGTAACGCAACTGTGCATACTTATCTGTGTTTGTGTTTGCATACATTATACATGTGTTTATTTAGTTATTCATGTATTTACTTGTGTATTGTTGTATGTTGTTGTATTGAGTTCTGTGTGTGTGTGTGTGTTGTTTTATTGATTTGTGTATTCAATTATTTGTTTACCTACTGAATTATGTATGTATGGTATGATATGATGTGATATGGTATGGTATGGTATGGTATGTATCTATGTATCTCTGTATCTATGTACCTATGTATCTATGCATCTATGCATCCATGTATCTATGTATGTATGTATGTATGTATGTATGTATGTATGTATGTATGTATGTGTGTATGTGTGTATGTGTGTATGTGTGTATGTGTGTATGTGTGTATGTGTGTATGTGTGTATGTGTGTATGTGTGTATGTGTGTATGTGTGTATGTGTGTATGTGTGTGTGTGTGTGTATGTATGTATGTATGTATGTATGTATGTATGTATGTATGTATGTATGTATGCCTACGTGCCTGCCTGCCTGCCTGCATGCATGCATGACATGCATTTATGCAATTATGTACTTATGCGCTTATGTGCTTATGCATGTGTATTATTTAACCAATTAATCAATGACATTTGTATGTGTATGTGTATATACAAATATATATATATATATGATATAAATAAATATATATATATACCATACATATATATATATATATATGTATATATATATATACACGCTACAAAAAAGCTAGCTCACACACACACACACACACGCACGGAAACAAAACAAACAAGAACGCCCGAGGCCAGAGGCCGATGGTCCAATACTGTTGGCCTGTTCAAAACGACCTTCGGAGTCGATGCCCTTTGCCCCTTTGCTCAAAAAGCAAAGGTCAATCAAACCAGTCATCAAATCATATAGGAATCAAACCAGTCAATCACCCCCCCCCCCCCCCGACTCTCAGCTCAGCGCTCTCGCGAGTCCAAAACTTCCCGAGGCTGCCGCGCAAACAAGTGCGAGGCCGCGCGCGGCGCGTCTGTGGAACGTAAAGCCGTCCTGAGTGCCTGCCAGAAACAACCCATTGCTCCAAAGACTCTGCTTTGCTGCAGTTGCCGGCCTGGAGACTCTGCAAGGTCATGTTTTTGAGGGTAATCTTTTCAGGTAAAATTTTAAAAGCAAGACATCTTATTTTTCAGTTCCTCTATGTTGACTATCCACATCCCCTTTTACATCAGTGTTCCCCCATCCCGAAGTCCTTCCCACCAGTCCCAGCTTCGGCCTGAGGTCGAACGAGGGAACCGTTTTGGTGTCGTTTAAATACAGGGAAATCCGATGAAAAAGGTTTCGGGGGCTTATGTTGGGGAGGGCTTCCCCTATAGACAAACCCATTTTCACCCCAACGAGCCTGGCAGTCGGACTGCAAATCCTCCAGCCCTCGCTGAACACGCTGGCTCAGTAGGTCCTGCAGCTGACAAGAACTGACCGAATCCTGTAGGTTTGCCTAAGTGGATCCTCCCCCCGCCTGGCACGTTTTGGTGGACGATCCTTCCTTTAAACCATCTTCCGGAGAGGAATAGCTCGGAGCCAAACCCGGCCACTAACAAGCGAGTTCAGTCAGCGTGCGCTTGAGCGATGTAAAGCCTGTGGCTACGACTGCAAGAAAGATGAAACTGGGCAAGGAGAAGTTGCTGGCGCAGGCAGCTTCACACAAGCATCAACAGCGATCTTGAACAGGCCATGCGGGCAAGCTGATGGTTTGCGTAGGAATGCAGCCGTGTTCTCCTGTAATCCCTCTAAACCCCACCAAGCAAAGCCTGTGCTAGTAAGTCGTACATGCTAGACACCTTCTCTCCTACAAACTCAGATGGAACTCAAAAGTGGCATCTGCCCACAAAGGATTCTTCTCACACATGTGTTGGGCTGGGTCCTCCGTATTCATTTGATTGCATTTGCAGGGGTTCTCGATAACATAAACAAAATTCACACCTGCAGTGCCAAAAGTTGACCAACTGCTCATGGGTTCGCAGGGGGCCACACTTTTGGTGAGGAACGGGTGTTTGAGATGACCATGGCTTGGCTGACCTTCATACATGATGATGCCGGCGTATTCATCCACACAGCTGTTTGTTGGGAGAGGAGCTTGAGCAAGAACCAGACACTTACAGGGGGTCTTAATGGGGAAGCCAAAACGGGGGATCTGTAGTGGGATAGTGTTTAAAGGGGCGCAAAAGAAAGCAACCCCAGTGTTAAGGGAACTCCCTTGGAAACGTTGACATGCTGATGACGTCATGATATGAGGAACCCCCTTTTGCAGGATGATGTGTAAAGGTAAACTCAAAGGAAACAGCTGTCTTCGTTCAGTGCATCCAGTATTTCGTGAAAATGCCTACACTTCCTCGCCAAGCGGTCCAGGAGGTGGAGTTGGGTTTTCAGTACAAATCCTATGGTATGTCACCAACTACTAAAGTGAGACATCACGAATATGTCACGCCTCAAACAACACTGTGTTCCACGGGCAATCAATACAAAAACAATCTAAACGGTGGAAGCCCAGACTTCACTAAATCACAGACGGCCAGAATCAAATCGAACTCTGATCTTTCGCGTACAATAGACCAAAAGTAGAAAATAACGAGGTCGCAAGTCAATTCGTTTTGGGCAAGTAAGCATCTTTTGGAGGGCACGCACCCTTTTTGATTGGCTGCAAAGGAAAACCCACAGTAGCCAGGCTGTACACCCTTGCTGAGTGGCCCAGATTCCGCTACTTGACCTCTAGCGTGGGTCCTGCGCGAGCCGCCAGGTCCGCAAACGCCCGCCGTCCCATTTCGGGGTTGGCGCGTCCGCCAAAACGGCCTCGTCGATGATGTCCAGCATCACATTCCTAAGCAGGGTTGGGCCAAAAAACTAAAACATCCAGCGCCTAGTCCCCATTACAGGAAAACCAAGCGCTGGTTGCTTAAACAAATTCGTGCTTAAACATTTTTGAGCAGCTAGTGTGCCCAACCCTATTTTTGAGGCGGGAGTGCTTCAGCATCTACACTACTCTGGATGAACACTCCGCTTCGTACTAGTTGGCAGGTGGTTTAGATTCATAGTGCTTCATCCAGCTTAACTGGTGCGGGAATTTGTCTGTATCTGTTGGTATCCCAAAACACATGTTCTGATAAGAGATCAACCAAATAGGGTTAGCCTGCTCAAAAGGCTCAAAAGCCCCACCCGCCAAGAAGAAACATTGAAACATGCTATAGCTGGTCTATGAAATAACCAAACATGAAACTCCAAGTTTCCAAAGCGCGAAACAGCATGATGTAAACACGGAAACCAAACGTAAACCATAGGGGTTGAAACCAACGGCAATCCCAGTACAGTATTCGAATCTAAGTAATCACCCAAAAGTAGAGCCGGACTTGTTGTGGCGTGAGCAGTACCGGTGGTCCCTGACAACCCAAAAGTAGACAACTAAACGATCTGACTTCGGCATCTCCGGTTTTGGACCCCACATTCGCCAAACCCCCCGGTTGGGCCCCAAATTTGATCGCTCCAAAACTGCCAAGCCCAAGCCATGCTTCAAGTCCCCCGTGGCCACGGGGAGGATCTCGAAGCCTCGGCCCAGGCCTTCCTGCAGTGGCTGGATCCCTCCGTGCTGTCCGTTCGGCTTTTACGTTGCTGTCGTTGTTGCTGTTGCTGTCGCTGTTGCTGTTGCTGTCGCTGTTGCTGTTGCTGCTGCTGCTGCTGCTGCTGTTGTGGTTGTTGTTATGTTGCGGTTGTGGTTGAGCTTGCATTCACCCGTTGTGGTTGCTGTTGTTGCTGCTGCTGTTGTTGTTGCCGGGGTCGTCGTCGCGCTGTTCTCGTTCCGACTCTTGCTCTTGTTCGTGTTCTTGTTGTTTTTCTTTGCTTCATTTCTTGACTGGGGGGGTGTATGTCCACCAACCCATGTTTGAGATTTCTCCAAAGTAGAAACCATTGCCATATGTCTAACCAAGTCATCACGCGCGCCCAAAGACACAAAATGGGCGTGGCTTGTTTTGGCGCCCTTGGTTTGCGGGAATGCCTTGAAGGGGCAGAGAAGACAACGTTGCAACTCGATTCCCAACCACGTGGCCAGGGTCCAGCTACTGGATTCCGCCATTGAAACCTGATTTCATGGCTTCCACGTTGGTGAAAGGGTAGATGTCCAATTCTATCAGCATCACCAGCACAAACACAAAACACGTTGAAGTGGAAACAAGCTGGGCCCCTATCCTTGTTTCAGAGAGAAGACAAAGCCTTTCTTTCGTCCGAAGCTCAGAGCCAGAAACAAATCGACACATGTGTTTGCATATTGGTTTCTTTCGAACCCGTCCTACACTTTCAGAGGGGCCATTGCTGATGGGTCGAAAAGGTATACTTCTCAAATTGATAGCTGGTTGCCATTTTACCAATGAGGTGGAAATAAACGGAGACACCATTTGTTTTGGTATCTTTCAAATCAGTCTCAGAATGGAGGTTTGGCGAATTTCAACCCATGACTCCAAGTGGGAAGCCGCTGCCAAGGGGGCCCCTCGTTACCCTTAAAGAAGATTTACGAAGGATTGCCATTCAAGAGCCAGTGAAGAAAAAAAACACGACCAAGAAGGGTTCCTCTCCCACAGTCCATGATGGCAGGAGATAAGGGAGCCAGTGTGTTGAGGGTCGTTCTTTGAGGACAACTCGCTTACCGGATGATAACTGGGGCATTATCTGCCGACCCCTTCTTGCCAAGAGGGGAGGCGCACAGGAATGCAGGCAACAAGTCATTGTTACACTGACAATTCAATTGTACGTTCCCAGGAATGCGTAATCATGACCATCATCTGATCACCATCATCCTCGCAGTCGCCATCATTGTCTTAGGTCACGCTTGGCTGGCATATTTCCGCACGGAGCCTCCGGCCGCAGCATACCCAGGTCAGCAGCAGAGCGCGGCAGCCAATTCGCTCCAGGGACCACCACATTTAAGGACGGCGGGGGCGATGACGACGCTGTTGTTGGTGTTGATGATGATGATGCTCTTCGCATCCCCAGCATCGCCAGCCAGGCTACAGAAGAACACAAGGACAGCCTCGAGAATGAGCTTGCCCTACACCTGAACACCATGAGCATCCTCCCCCCCAAAAAAAAGGTCGCCACTTTGATCCCCAGCATTGTCAGCGGCGCCCAACGTCACACTTGGGATCTTTATGCAAGAAAATGAAAATGAAAATGAACATGAAAATGAAAATGAAAGCAACGATGATGACGATGACCAGCATGACAGTGATGCCGATGACAGTGATGCTGGCCATCATGACTACACATCCCTAGCATCACGTGATGACGTGATAACGATGATGGTGTCGATGATGACGGTGATGATGATAATGCCGGGATGATGCCCATTGTTGCGCACCCCCACCCCCAGCGTCACCAGCGAGGCCTGGCGTCACAGGCCGCATGATACTCGAAGTTGCCATTCAAATGAAACCTAGAGTCCTAGACAAAGATGAAATGATGAGCATCACCTTGTGGGCCTGCAGGGTTGATGCGGCCGATGCGGGTGATGCTGGGGATGCTGGGGATGCTGATGGGTGCAAACCCAAGCTTCCATTTATTCAAGGCCCCTGGAAAAATATTTCCAGTAGTCATAGATGCCCAGGGGAGAATGAAAAATATTCTTAAGCAAATGGAAGCAAGGCGTTGCCCATTGGAAGAACGTGGCAGCTGGTCCAGGGCTCGCCCTTTGCAAAGGCGCAGCCAGGGCAAAGCAAAGCGGGCTGAAGCCTGCGTGGCCCAAAGCAACAACGCGCTGCAGCGCCGCTTACGCGGGCCTGCGTGGCCCAAAGCAGCGGGTTTGCTCGCAAAGGCGCTGCCTACTTGGCTTCGAACACTTAAGGAGCAAGAGCTAGCAGCTATGAAGTTCAGCATCCCGCTGGTGCCGCGGCCGGTTGTGCGTCAGCAACCTTCGCCAACCCAAAATAAGCGTCCCCTGTGAAATGAACCTTCATCATGATATTCATCATGGGCGAAATCGGTTCCAACCCCTCCCACACCTCCGGTAGGTGATGCCGATATGATTTGCCCAAAAGCCTATATGAGCCCCCAAGTAAACACATACCTATATGAGTGATAAGAGACAAAGGCCAATGCCAATATTGCTTGTATCCCAAACTGACACTGCAGTTTAGTGAGTTTCCTCTGTTCATAATTTTCGAGTGACTGTGCCAGTGTAGCCCATGTCACCTTTTGAAATAGGAAAAACAAAGTAGTCAGCCTCCTTTCAATAGCAGTTGTCCATTTAGCCCCCACAAGAACCAGGGATTATTCAAATCCCCAATCCACCAATCCAAACCACCAACCGGGGGTGACCTTAGAGAATATTAACCACTGCAAAGCCACCGAAACATCAGGAAAAGGCCCCTAAACCCCCCCAAACCCCCTAACCCCCCCTAAGCCTCCCTAAGCCCCCCTAAACCCCCCTAAACCTAAACCCCCCCCCCAAAACCCCCCTAAGCCCCCTAATCACCCCCCCCTAAGCACCCCTAAACCCCCCTAAACCCCCCTAAACCCCCCTTAAACCTCCCTAAACGGCCCGTCCTGCAATGCGCGGGAGGTCTTCGCGATGAGGCGGATGCGGTCGGATTCCCGCGGCACGAGGTCCGCTTTGGCGAAGAGGAAGTGGAGCTGGGCCGCGGCTTCCGCCGCGGCGGTTCCTTCCCCGTGACTCCAGGCGTGCGGCGTACATACCGGTTACATACCCCTTCTCACTTGCCCAAAGGACCCAGAAATATAAGGTTAACCTTTTGACACCTCCACTAAAAATGGACCAAAACGGGAAGACCAAAAGGTCAAAAGGTCGGCTTTGGGCAACTGCATACCCCTTGGACAAATGAGCCCAAAAGGCCTGCTGATGCTCGCTCAAGTGGGTTGGAAACCACGGAAGCCAAGGGGTATGAACAAGGGGTATATGTACTTCCCATCTAAGGGTTTTTGCATTACACCCTGGGAATACACCCACTGGGTATTGACCTCATTTAGACACATGTCCGGATGAAACTGTGCTTTTTTGAACCATTCTGGGTCATTTCCCAAGGGTGTAATCCCAGGGTGCAAGAAAAAAACCCTCAGATCCCATGACCCCACTGTGACTTCGGACAGCAGCAACCCGCCGGGGGGTCGCTCCATTTTTCGGGAAACCCCGCGCGAAAAGAAGGGGAGCGCCAGTGAACAAGGATTCGGAAATAGAAGGCACTCACCTCTGGCCTTGGTGCAAAAAACCGACGCAGAAAACAGAAGGTCTGGCAAAAGTATAAAGCTCGACTCGCTAAGCGTCTGGACAACAAAGCCATGAGCTCATCGCTTGGCTTGGCTTGTGAGTCCAGCAGGCACACCACGATGTCCACATGAGCCAATAACCAATCGATCACCTCCTGTGGGTTGGTACGTTCGACCCCCTGCAACCAGAGAGTCATATGTTGCCAGTGACTGGTCGAAATCGAAAACCTGAGAAAGATTAAAAGGTGCAGTTACTGCCAAAGATCAAACCGGAGTTCATGTCATGTAGGAGCTTCTCAAAATGGTGCACGCCCTTTTAGTTGGTATTCAAAGGGAAACCAAAAGGAAACCAACCGAAAGTCTAGGGCACCCCCTACTTTGAGAAACAGCCAAGTCATGTCCTGATCTTCCAGCTGCGTGGGAGCGCGGACTTCTACCAGCTGGATCCCGTCCAAACGACTCCCGGGCACTCTCTTGCACGCCTTCACAGCGGCTGTCGCCCTGGGCTCCCAGCTTGGAAACTTCTCCACGGCCCGCGCCAGCCTACGAGTCTCGTTTGCGGGGGGAAAAAAACATCGCTTTGCCCATAGGTCTCCTTTTACGGCAAAAAGATGGGCTTCCCTGGTAGATGATTAAACAACCGGGTAAACCATGGAAACCCATCGATTCTTCGACCAGACCAACCAAAAAGGACACCTATGGCTTTGCCGCTTTGGCAAATCATCTAGGGGTACCTTCCATTTCCATTCTTTCCAGGCACCCTTGTTTCTAAAAAAACACCCAAATCCCAGGGGAAACAGCTGGATTTTGAAAAGAACGATGGTTGAAAAGAATGGGCATCAACCCCAAGAAATCTTGAAACCGCTCTGCCACAGAAACAAAGAATGGGCGACCAAGCAGCAAGCCCGGCCAATGTCCATGTTTCACCTCCTCCCCCACCACCCACTGCACAGCTTCCTTCGAACTTGTGCTGAGTACCAGCTCTTCAGCCAGGGCGTTCAGGAAGCCGCTTTTGCCAGCGCCGGCATCCCCCACTGCAGCCACCACCACTGGCCCCTTGGAAAACGTCAATTGAACCTCCCGCTCTTCAGCTATGGAGCGCAAGGAGACCTTGCCCTTTCCATGGTAGTACCTCACTCCGATCTTCATAAGAACCAAAAGAACACCCCGACTCCCCCCCTTTGTTTTGGTCGACTATCAAAAAACCAACTGCATGGAAGAAACATATATGGTTTTGTTGTTCCATTTTTCAAGGAAGACCCGTTCCACAATATCTCGACAAAGGCCGCCCGTAATCAATCCTGGGTGCTGCTCGATGCCAAGCAGTATCTTGCTCCGCACCGCCATGTCACAGCGGCATGCTCCATTCCATGAGAAAGGTACAACGTCCTGCTTCCTTGCCTGGCTGTGGCTGAGTGTTCCGCCAACAGGTAGCTTTGAACCAGCTCGTCCTTGACACTGGTCATCAAAAACGCAATCATGAGCTCTGAAGCTGTTCTGAAGTCGCTCGATCATGGGTCCTTATATTTTAGGATCTTTCGACGCAAGAGTTATGCTTTGCAGAGTTCATATTGCAGCAACACTGAACTATCTGAGCTTGCGAATCGAAATTGGCGCGAGTGGGACACCTCGGCTTTTCCTCCAGGTGAGGTCGATATCATCCATGTTTCCCCTCAAACAACTCATATGATGGTTATCTTACATCCCGGGCTTGATTTCCGCCAACTTCATCCCAAACCATTGGTCTTCACGATGGCGGTCACAAGCTGGGACGGCCGGCGGCTTCCCCCCACCCCACAGCTGCTTCGCGCTTCACTTTTCCTCCAACGGCGTGCTCTTTCGCCGCAATAGGCGGTGCGCTTCTCAAACCAAGGTTTTTTTTCTACTTTGGATCAACCTTGCACCAAGGAATCTGCCTGAAGATATGGTTCTTTCAGGGTAACCGGCTCTGTAATTTGAGGGTTATGAGATACTCATATACATGCGACACTTGTTCAATCAGGGACAAGGGCACTGGGTGTCTGGGGAGTCTGAGCAGGGCGTTGGCGGCTGCAACGCCCCCGCCACGAAACCGACTCGGTGACTCGAAGCAGTCCATCCAAAATCCAAAAGCAATGGCCGGGATCTGAAAAAGCTTGTGCCACGCCTGCGCGCATTATATTCCTATATATATATATATCGCCGCTACAATTGTACACTTGTTCTTGGTGTGTTTTGGCCAATTTCCTGTAGTCTTCCGGGCTGGTTTCTATGACCCAAGAATCTCTGCCGACTCTGGCTGGCTCAGTCCACAGGGCCCGCCTTGCAAGTCGCGCAAAGTCGCGGCCACAAAACGCGACAGCCGATATCCTTGGTGCCCCAAGAGGACATGGGGAAAAAGTCAGGGTTGCCACATGCCATTTTGTCGGACATTCGGGATGTCCCCCTTTCCATCCCAGACGAATTACATTGTCAGTTGATCCCTCGCAAGCCAAATTTGGCAACTGGGACAATCAGGGGGCATGTAAGGCCATTAATTTGCAAAAACAAACTGCAGAGGGAATTTTATGTCCAAGGATTGCAACTTGCAATGAGTGACCCTTCCTTGCATGTCTGCGTGTGCTTGCATGCGAGCATGCGAGCGAGTGAGCCTTCGTGAGTGAGTGCATTGAGTGCCCGGGTGCTTGGTCGAAAACTTGTCTGTCGAAGGGCAAATCTGCACGCCTCAACACGTGAGGGAAGCCCTAGGCAGCCTCGCAAAAACTGTTCGCAAACGGGGTCAACAGCACCTCCCCGCTTTTGTTTGGGAGCTCGGTGGCTTTCCCTCAAGGGACCTGTGTGGTATTGGGTGCATCGATTTGGCCGGAAGCTCCTGCAAGATTCTGCACCATTCGGGCTTGTCTCAAAACAAGTGACCTCAATGTGGATTTCCTTTGGGCTGAATTGATCGCCACAGTCCCAAAAAACAGCACAAATCCATTTAGCACCGGAGAAATGCTTGCCTCAGTGATGTCGGACTGGATGCTCCTGTTCAGGCCCTCGACAAATTTCCTGGCCAGTGACTCAAGGCATCTTTGGTCATGGTTGTGGAGAGTGCCCCCTTTCTGCGGTACCAACGTGGGCCATCTGTATGACTACCTTTATCACTCTGGGCATTTGTTTGGTATCATAGAAAGTGGTCACCGAAATACTTTTTTTTCACGACCACGTCGTTGGCGCTATTGTTGATTTCTGCAATGGGACTCTTTCCAGGACGAACTCTCTCATCCCCAACCGAGGGATCCTTCTTTCCATCAGACCCTGAAACACCCACTGGTGCCACTAAGACCGTTTTCCCAATCTGCAGACATTCACGTGCTCGAGAAGGTGTCTGTCTTTTTTGTTCCTCCTGTTTTTCAGGGTGCCGTGCAAAAGGGGTGTTGGAAACGGAAAACCACCCAGCCTTGCCACAAAAAAATCGGAGCCCATTTCGCTCCAGCGTGGCTTGCGATGTCTGCAGTTTGCTTCACCCTACGGAATGGGCCCACAAACCTTGCGTGAGGATCGCACATCCGGTGTCTCACAATAGGGGAAGCCCTAGAAAGGGAAGGTTCCTCCTTTAAAACCATCCCAAAGAGGTACCCTGAGAAAAAAAGAAAAAGACAAAAAAAACACCCAGATGGTTGTACAGGTTGAGCTGTTGCAACTCCGGAGCCTCTTTCCGACAACTCATCAACCCGGACAGGGATACCATGTGTTTTACCTTGAGCAACAGGACGATGGAACGCCTTGGGTTCAGAACCTCAATGATTGGTTTTAAAAAACACAAAAACACACACACACACACACACACACGGAGGCCTAATTCTTATATAATAACAACAAAACAATGGAAGATATTGTCCCATGCTGCCTTGGCAGAATTCGGCCATTTCAGGCTTCCCCCTAGCCCCCACAAACATGGTTTTCTGCCCAGGCCGCCTTTTCAAAAGGACAAGACAGGGTCCACTAAAGTGACATCCTCAACATAGCTCCTATATGGCAAATGTCGGTTTAAAGGACAGCAACCCGCGAAAGGAATCGTGAGCACCCCTCAAACTATTCGTTTAATGGTCCCAGAAAGAGGGCTGTGCACTGCCACGTTGATGGGCGGCCCAAGAGAATTGACCGTGGCATGGGACCCAGGTCCAAAGATCTGAAAATGAAGGTTCATCTTTTGGGGGCAATGACTAAAGGTAGACGAAAAACTGGCAAACCCAAAGTCAAAGGGTCGATCTTGGGCAACTGAGAGGTTGTTGGTCCAAGTCATTTTGGAAAAAATGAGTCGCAGTGGGCTCTGGTATATAAATGATTCGAACTCAACTGAAACCGTGGAATCCATCTATTTCCAACCCAACTCACCAAAACGAAAGCACATCCATGCTCGTTCTGGGTGAACTGTGGCGGCTGAGTACAGGAAACCAACCACTGGGCCTATGAATTTCAGCTTTGTTGTTTGCTCTTGCTTTTTTTTTGTTGGGGGGGGGGGTTCGAAGAGGATGAAAGCCAACATCTGAAAGGGGGTTCTGAGGATGACTTTTTGGGATGGGTTCTGTTTTCATCATGATTGAAAGGTCATTTCGAGAGTGCTTATGGGCCAAACAGGTGACATTGAACACCACCCACAAGGAAACTATGGGTATGTGTCGAAATTGAGGGACTCCAATTCAACCCAACCTTTGAAAGGGAACCCTCTAGAAACTCCTTCAAACAAAAACGCCACTCCTTCAAGCCAACCTTTGAAAGGGAACCCTCAACGAGACCACGCCCAAAAATCTACTTTTCCCCGGCCAAAAACTGTGCGCACCCGCGGCCTCGCATAGCTGGCGGCGAAGGCGTGGGCGGCCTTCTGTGAGGAGATGACCCTGGCGAGATCGGTGCTCAAGAAACGGACCGCTCGTTTGGTCCAACACATTTTGACATGGTAAAGCAAAGGTTTAAAATGGAGGTAAAAGGGGGCCTCTTGGTTTGTACCTCAATGTTGCCTTTTGGTTTCTGGGCGCGAAAAAAAACAGGTTGGGGATCGAAAAAGGGGGTCCCTCGCTTGAAAGGCGGCTCCCCAGTCGTTCACCCAGTGTGTTGCCTGAATGCAACTACCCCGATTCCCCCGGGCGGTGTTTGGCAACTTTCTGGGAAACAAGGCAACCACCTCAATTGTCGGCTTGATTTAAGGCAATCTTCTGAAAAAAGGATCAACGGTAACAAATGTGGGAAGTAAAGCTCGAATCACGTGCTCCATGTATCGTTGTGAGCACAATTTGGAGCACCAGAAGAAAGGCCCCAAACAGAAGTGTAATGGTACCCTCCCAAAAGCAAACATGAAACCTGAAAGGGAAGGTGCCTGTACGAAGAAATATATGTTCCAGGGAACCTCAGTTCTCTTTTCGGGAGCAATTACATCACATCACATCCATATTACAACAAGACAATTGATTGGCGTGCCTTTGATTTCCCGTTGAAACAACCCAAAAGGTACTCTTCAAAAGCAGTCACAAATGAACGTGGGCGTGCCTTTGTTTGGAAACTCAAGGAAACAACTGATAGGTCCCCATGAGACAGACCCATGCTTGAAATTAGAGACCTCAACTGACTGGTTTCCTTTCCCACTCAACTGTCTTGTTTGTGGTTGGTTTCACTTGAGATATTTCTGCAAAAAAACAAATCAGGTGGATTCCTTGGATAGGAACTAGCTGCGAACCCACTGTAATTCCTGGCTTCCCTTGAGATGTCGTTTCACATCTGCCAAGCAGAGGGTACCGCACGACAAACAACCCTCTTGGTCATATCAAGGTCATTCTGCTCAGGCTCCACCTGGCTGTGGGTCAAGAGTAGGTACCCAAAATTCAACCCTGGCAAATGGAAACATGGACTAACACCTGCGGTCCAATTCCTGGTGGTTTAATTTTGACCCATACCCAGCTGTTTGCCTTCCAGTTTACGGGGTCCCGCTTCTTCAGCACACAAACCTGGATTCGAGAAGCGGCTTTCATCCAGAAAACCATGCGCAGTCTATCACCTCAGCTTGTGACCCTCGACGTTTGGAAACGTTCTTTGGGCTCCAAACACACAGCCCCTCGTGCGGGTCTGTCAGATAAAATTCCTGGGTTCATAGGAACCCATTTTGGGCTCCTTGGGTGTCTTAGAATTCCTGAAAGCCAGAATCAATTGACTATTCATCAATTGACAGGGGTTCATAAGCCCCAATGGTTCATGCGGGGTTCTAAGGTATTCACGCACCAAATTCATGAATTGTTGGCCAAGGCGCATTGTTGATCATGGATAATTCGCAAAGGGAATGATCCCCATGTCACCAAGTGTTTCACTTCGTAGACACCAGCTACAGAAATGTCTACAGGAAAACTGGCCAAAGAAATATCCACCAAGATCCAAGGATTTCCTTCGCCGGTCTCTGAGATCATGTGTTACCTGTCGCGACCCCAACGGGGGCCAACTTCCAGCGCTTCGGCCTCGCGAAGCGCCCGGCTTCCAGTCCGAAGAAGACGCCTCGGGTGGGGCTTGGCAAGCCTCCCATGACTGAAACCAAAGGATTGGGCACGAAGAGAACGACTTAAACCCCGGGATAGGTGATTGACGATTGGTAAAAACTTGCTTCGAACCCAAGGATTGATTGACTCTGAACCCAAGGATTGATGGACTCACCCCGATGGGTTTGTTGAGTCACCGATGGAATTTCTGGCCACTGGCGACAGGAGGATGACATCTCTTCACCACGCCCATTGGGAGAGACCCGCCAAAAACCCAAATACCCCCAACACGGTACTAGTTGGCCTCATTTGTGTTACCGAGCTTTCCCTAACCAAGATTGGTGTGTCATTAGGGCTCTTCAGCTCTTGATTCTCTCCGAGCCTGAGGCAAGACGTGGCTGAGGCCATCGGACAGAAGACTTTTTCTATAGCGCCCTTGACACTTCAGCTTCTTGGACCAGGTGATTCACAATCAACATCTGGTACTAAGTGGTGGTACCCAGAGCCGCCCGCGTTAAAAGAAAAAAACAACAAACAACAACATAAAAGTAACAGGGAAAGCCGCACCTGCTTCTGCTTGGGACTGTCCCTTACTAAGATTCAACCTGCGTCTTCATTGCTCTACTCACCTTCCTGTCGACTCAAGTGTTGGAGAGGGCAATGATGAGAACCACATGGACCCGTTGGAAGATGCGTCGATGTTCACCCCATCTGAAACCACAAAGAACACGTATCTGCTCATTCCATAAGCACTCTATATCCAGCGCTCGCCATAGGCAGACCTATGCTTTGGTCAATTTCTGAGGCGGCGACAGTCAGACAGCGTGTGAAGCTCACCCCGGTGCACCTCAAAGCCAAAGATGGAAAGTCAAACCAATACAAGGGGCTGAATAACTTCTAACATTGTGGTCCCATAATCGTGACTTAATTCAGCTAAGGGTACCCCAACCCCAACAATCATATAGCCCAGTACATTACTCGCCTCTGGTTTGGATTGGTGGCTTGCAGGTTAGGCGGTGGCTTTCTACTTTACGAGTACATACCCTGAAAAACCCAAGGTTGAGCCCCCAAACCAACAAGCCAAAGCACCTTTGGGGGTAACCTGAACTACCCCTGAAAATTAACATGGAATCCCAAAACCGGAGCATTCAAAAGGAGTGTCCGCTAAAAATTGGATGGACTATGATAAGGTGTGTGCTATTTTGAAGCTCGGCACCCTTTCCAAGTTACGCACAAGGAACACCACCACTTTGGGTACCTGTTCAAACCCCTGTTTTGACACGTGCCGCATGCCCATAACTCACGACATTTCGCCACAACAAAAGATATCATTTTGCGTGCCCACGGCCAATTCTGCCGGGGATGTGATTGAGGCAAGATTCTCGCAATCACGGGCAATCTGCACCAACTGGGAATGTATAAAAAATGTGAGTGAAAAAGGAGTCGCCAAAATTCCCCGAGTTCGTATACAGTAAGCCACGACCAATAATACACATACGTTCCATACAAATATGTATACGTCTATAGACACATACATTATACGTATCTAAATGATATGCTTCTCCATACACACGTGCCACACACACACACACATGTTATACACACGTCTCATATGCGAATTGCGTTGTTTTGCTCAAACTGTATGGGGCACATACCCAAAGTGCTCGATATCTTTGCACTCGAATAGGTTCAAAGCATGCTTCGGCGATCGTGCGCGTTTGCGTGAATGAGGGGGACTGCTTCGTTCCTGTTGGCCTTGTGGTCAGCCCACAACAACAATGCAATCTGGGGTACACCAAAACCGATCTTCAATTTTTCTAGGGGCACCTTCCCCATTCTTTCCAGGGATCCTTCTTTCTGGAAAACCTCCGGATACCCAGGGAAAACGGATCCGGTTTTTGGAAAGAATGATGGTTGAAAAGAATGGAAGAGGAATCAACCCCTAGAATTTCTGCTTTAGTCTACCCTAAAGTCAAAATCATGGGTCCTCTGGGCCACCCGCCCAGCCGGTCCAAAGAGCTGCTTCGCTCAGCCATTGACCTGGCGGTGAGTTTCTCTCTAGATGGGGGGAAGCACAAAACGTGGGTGGTGTCCATTTGGCCTCCCTGGAAAGAACCCAAACATGGCTTCGCCGCAAAAAACAAAAAGGGCGACGCACCTTAGTCTGCAACTGCCGGAATCTCCAACGACACTGGCTGAAGGGTCTGGGCATGGGACGACTTGGCTGAGGCGAAAGTAAGGCCAGCATTCCTCGTAGATTAGGTGACCCGCCTGGGACTAAAAAGAATCTTGTCGAAAGCACGGCTTTCCAGACATGTTACATGTTGTTTCATTACTAATGGATGTCGTAGCACCTTATTTAGGAAACTATGGAGCACTGGTTTCCTGAGCGGTGGAGGCTTTGAGAGTGTTAAGGCCTTGGACTCCCCAAAGAAGAGGGTCCTATAGCCCGTTGTGCTCTGGATTAGCAAGCGTCATTCTGGGAAGTGAATACAGCTGAACATTGCAACTTGTCAATGGTGGTCTCCCTTGATGTTGGTGGAAAAAGCCATGTTTCAAATGGGCAAAACGTATCTTTTAAGGAGCCCTGTGAAATAACTCCTTTTGAACAAATTTCAATGGAGGTCTACATTCGACCAGCGCTATGGACTGCAAACCCAAAAGCTCCCGGCGAACAGATTGCCTGTCGTGCAAAGCTGGGTCATGACGCCTTCGAGCGAAAATGAAGTTTACTCTCATATGTTCTGTGTCCGTGCCAATGTGATTTGACAAAGCTGCGTGTGCAGAGACAAAGGCGGCAGAAGCAGGAAGACTTTGAAACGCTGGCTAACGCTTTGCCACAGCTGATGCAAAAAGTATTGCACAAAGCATATTGGCACGGGCGCATTGCCAAGAAAAGGGGGCTCATGACCCTTTGCCACGGCGGATTCCAAGAATTCCAAGCTGAGCCAAGTCGCAAGCGAAGTCCATGAGGTCGCGACTTGAGTTGAGATCGTAGAACGAAAATGCTACCCATGGGTCATGTTGGGCCCCTTGCTGGCCGCTTTCCATACTTTAGACACAATGAATGGTGAAGTAACCCATGAACTCGGTGTCAACATGACTCGTCCTGCCCCTGATGAATTCCTCGCAATTATTTGTTGGTCCTTTCAGCCACCATGGGTATGTGTCAAAACATGGAAACCCCCGAAGATGGGTTGGCTTCAGTTCAAACTCACCTGAAAAGGCTACCCGCAAAAGACCATACACCAATGTGCGTTGGTGGACGCTGCAACGGAAGCTAGCCGGCGGCGCCGCTGTTCAGGGTCTTCCGCACCTGGCTCGAGCCCGCTGTCAAAGAAAAGCGCCGAAAGGTGATGTTTCTTTGCGGAAGGTCTCCTTTGTTGGTCCTGGTTTAAGAGCAAAGTAAAAGAAGAAGGAATGCCAGACCCGGTTTACCGGATACATTACTGGGAGAAGCCAAACGAACGAGACCAAGTTGAAATCAAGAAACACGTCAAAGATCCTAATGTTGGCCGCACAAGAACACATGCGAACAGGTTCAGGACACCTTTCTTTCCCAAGGCTCTCGCGAAAGGGTGGCAATATCACAGATGTTGCTCTCGAGGTATGCATTCATGCATAGCATGTGAATCAAGAACAATATGCCACACGTTCCCCAAAAGAAGATACCTGGGTTTGAATTTTGAGGGAACCCGCAGAATGGGAGGGGGGGCTCCTTTTGGTGTCCTTTTAAAACCACCAAAAGGACCCTGCGGAAAAGAAAACTTGGATTCGGTGGGCCTCCCATGTCCTCCCCAGTCGAAGAAAATTAACATGGTCAACGGCTCGTGCCGAGGACAAACAATGCGCAAAGCGGCAGCATCCCAAACGCAAACTGTGCGCGTTCTATGTGGCAGCCTTCAGGGAGCAGATCAAGATTGTTTCCTCCATGAGGAAGGTGTTGTAGGAACAACTAGACTCCCCGACTCCCCCTGCTCAAAGAGAAAGATGACCTGCAGGGCCAAGGTATCCCATGGTCAACAATTCCAACAATTCTGGGATCATCTGTACATGCAAAAAAAGAAACGTGTCTGGTTGCTGAGTCATGTAGTCCGTGCACGTGATTACAATAATCCCAGACCTGTGCAAGGTGGTACCTCTTCGAAAATGAGGCCATGTAGTTGACTATGATATCGCCCTAGTCAAAGTCTCTGATCTGAAACCCAATGAAGCCCCATGCACTCACCTCTGGTCAATCAACCAAAAGCCAGACTCACAAGTCTTTCCAACCATCTCAAACAGCCGCTCACTTGCAAAGGGAACCAAAAAGCTCAGGTCCGATCATTGATCAATCCGTGCGCATGTCCCCCGCGTCTCCACTTTCTTAGGCTTTCCAAACGGGATCAGACATCCTATCCAGGAAGGACTTGTGGATATGCCAAGATACTTGCCAACAAATGATTGTTGAGGTCTGTGCTTCTGAAAATGGATCATACAGGCAGCTGGGGTTGCACCTTTTGCCGTGAAAGCCTTTGAAATCATGCTCAAATTTAAATATACAGTCTAAAATGGCCATGGTTCTGCGACTGAATGTCAGCACACAACTGCATTGGGGTGGCCAAATTCTCGGTGCTGATGGAGACTCCGAGCACCAGTCGGCGCCGCTAGGATTGAACACGGCATATGCTATAATCAAAACCTGGCAGAAGTTGCTCCGAAATCCATGATATAAAGAGTGACTGCACCTATTTATCGAAATGGGAATCCCCGCACCAAACTCCTGGGGAAGGTCTGCGGGTTTGTCGCTGAGGAACCTTCAACACAGGTTGGCTTCCCTTGGACCTGCCTTGCAGCCGCACAAGCAACGCACCCTCAAACAATGGACACACCTCGGAGGCTAACGTAGGCATGGCCGGAAGTAACCCTTTAGGAAATAGAAAGATTCTCATGTCCACCTTACGTACGACTTTCAAGGGGATCCCATAGTTGCCGCGCTGGCCCACACCCCCCGTCCGCCTGAGTTCCTGCAGTGCCTGCTGGGGAGTCCTGCGGGTATTCGACCGAAGCGCCGATTCCTGAGGCACCCAAAGGAATCCACTCAAAACGGCAAGCTCCAGCCAACCATACTGCGGATGGACAAAAGTCTGCACCAGCTCGGCGGTTTGTCGGATCGGAACCTCTCTTGGAGCAAGGGGCACCCCTTTTGGGATCGGATTCCATGTGCAGGGTGCACGTAGAACAATGGCGGCCGCAAGCGACACTTGCCTTTTTGACCAGAATGACACGGACCCTCAAGGATTTCGTCACTTCAGATACCCTCTTTCCAACAATCATGGAAGTGCACAAAGGGGTTCCCCAAAAGGAAGATAGTCTTCCAAAGCTCTCCTGTCAACTTCCATGTTGGAGGGAGGGTAGTCAGCCATGGGGGTTCAACAGCACTGCCGAGATTCTGTTTGAGCACCCAAGGCGTTGATGGCATGAGCTGCGGAAATGGAAGCCGTGGAAGCAGGCAATCAAAAGCCAAAGGGTGGATCTAAGTTCAACACTGGGGATGGGTCTTGCCCCACACTGAGATGTGCAATCTCAAGCAAACGTCGCCGCCGAAGCAAAACTTGGCATACAAGTTGTGCGCCTCGTAGAAACTGACAAAAAATGCGGCCCCGAAAAGAGAAATCATCGCCATACATATTATGGATAGTGAGTTCCTTCCACAACAGTATTTGTTCAGGGCCCTCTATCTCATCTAGACCAACCCAGGCTGCATTTGTTCGTTGCGACTGTCTACCGTTAATCTGCGAAAAGGAACTTTTGTCAACACTCAGCAACGCGTGAAGCAAACCCGCTGTCCCTAGGAGGAGGAAGCTGTGCCGCATATTGGGCTTTGCCGTTGATGATGAGATACCTGGCAAAGCCATGCAGAGTTCCAGGCACAGCATATATCCCTCTCTGCTTAACTTCTCTTGCGAGAGCGCAAACAATTCCGCTCAAAAATATGTAAGCCACGAAATATATACTAGGCAAGCAACCCCATCTACCAGGGAATGCGGTACCTGTGGCAATTGTGTTGTGTTTGTGTGGATTTGCATGTGTACTCGCGATCCTGAGCGTGATCGTGTACGTATCCTTGTTTTATCGTCCGTGTGCGCGCACATGCGCATGCGCAAGCGTGTGGGTGTACGTGTGCGTGCGCGAGGGCGTCTATGTACGAATGAAAGTAGATAGTACGAATGAAAGTCGATACATAATTTATGCATATACATGTATATATATATATATATATGTATACATATACCTTACATGTATTATACACTACATATGCATTTACATATTGCATGTACCAATAGATTTACATGTGTGTGTGACTGTGTCTGTGTGTGTCTGTGCATCTGTATCTAGTTGTCTGCGTGTCTGTGCATATCTGTGCAACGTGGGTGCAGGCGATGTCCTGTAACAGGGGATCAGCAAGATGTTGTCCACTGACTGTAGCTTGTACATATCGTGCTTGAGAATGCGAATGGACAAAGTGGAACAGAAGCACAGCAGGATAGCAAGGATATGCATGAGCAAGCATTGCAAGCATGCTCGAAATTCCGACTGCATGAAGTAAAACCATGGGTTGCAAACAGCAACATCCTGCAATAGTGCTCATAAAGAGGCTCCCTTTGTTCAAACTTGGACCCTGCCCGCAGCAATTGAATTGTACCCAGATCTTCTTCATGATGGAGGCCGTACTTAGACAAGCACCAATGGTTGCCGGCCGTCAGTGCGCAAGGGCAGGCTCCCACTTGAAGCAATAATGCTGATGATGATGAGGATGATGCTGATGATGATGATGATGATGATGATGATGAGGATGATGATGAGGATGATTATGAGAGGATGATGCTGCTGATGATGAGGATGAGGATGAGGAAGATGAGGATGAGGATGATTATGAGAGGATGCAAGCAGGCGCACATCATAGAGCAGGATTCGCCGACGGTAAACACCTGGGCATACCGCACTTGCTGCGCGTCTGGTACCCAGGCATCCGTTTGGGAAAAAACAACTGAATTTC